TGATTTCCATATGTTCTTCAATTGTAGAAATGCGGCCTTTGCTTTTCCGATCCTCGCCTTTACTTCTGCATCTGATCCTCCTTGACCATCGATGATGCTTCCCAGGTACGTGAAGGATTCTACATCTTCCAGAGTTTTGCCATTAAGTGTGATCGTATTGGTGTTCTCCGTGTTGAATTTGAGGACCTTGGTTTTCCCCTTGTGTATGTTGAGGCCTACTGATACAGAGACTGTTGCTACATTGGCTGTCTTTATCTGTATTTGTTCATGTGTATTGCATAGGAGGGATAGGTCATCTGTGAAGTCCAAATAATCTAATTGGTTTAAATTATGAAAGTTTAGTTTAATTTTGTTTAAAAAAATTCAAAACAAGAAACTGTACTGTTTAAAATTTGTTAATCGTTTCTATTTTAGACTGAGATACTGTTGAGATGGCTTCCGACAACGGAGCCTCCAGAGGCCCTAGAGGAGCCGAAAAGTTTTATTGCACAGACAAGTGGCTACGAGGACTCAGTAGTTAAGTGGATAAGGCAATGTCATTTGAAGAGAACAGTACTGGGTTCAAGTCCCAGAGTGGACATCAACTCTGAGATACACGTACGTTCAGTTGACGAGTCCCAAATAGGACGAAACGCGCATCGTGGTTTCCACTGTTTGCCACTATCCATCTTTGCTTTTAAATTATGACAGTTTAGTTTAATTTTGTTTACAAATTTCATTAATCGTTTCTGTTCCAAACTGAGATACATGTAGTGATTTAAATGCGATAACTATTAAAAGCCAAGAAGTGAGTATTACATAACTTTTTCATCTTATGATATAAAAAGAAAACATTCATCGGTATCAATATGCACTTATGGCATAGATTTCTTGGTAAGCATGTGGTCGCTTAGACTTCTGATTCGAAATCATGTGAGCAATCGATCTAGAACTTTGTATAGGTAACTACTTACAATCTTATCTATTAAAATGATTATAATTAAGGTGTTACTTAACGTCGTGAGTATCATGTTGAGATTTCATTTGGGTTAAGGTAGTCAACAGTTAGTGAATTAACACTCATCAGCAGCGAATACTAGCAATATTAAAGGAGTCAATGATCGCTGGTGGATTCAAACTTGTGTCATGTAATTTACCAAACTAAGACGTTAAGTTTGAACTACTTTGATTATCGTTGTTGACAAAATATGTCAATATAAATAAATAAGTCAAATATTGTCAAACTAAACAATCTTCCCAAATATCGTCTGAGACAAATGATTAGTCATTAGTAAGGAAATAGCTAATTTTGGGATGAATTCCTAAACTTTCAGAGGATTACTCATGACCACTTATATAATGCCACAGTGTTGATGACAGTGAGACAGTCACTCTTAACAGTAAAATTTCTTGATAATTGTTTCGCTCTATTGAGAATCATTTGACTTTTTAAAAAGATATGTCAACAGTTTTATATTGATCTTATTATGTTACTTACACAGACCTACTGATAATAATCATGTGCTCACTAGTGAATATCTTCAAGATGGAACTCCTAAAGTTCTAGTGAGAAACCATGACCAGTGGAGTTTAATCCGTCTAGGGTGTGAGATGTTTATTTACCTTACACAATAAATGAAGAGTTGCGCAACATCATGAATTGATCGAGGTTGGACATCAACACAGTTACGTGCCGTCTCCGAGCGCGAGATTAAAGGTCTTGTGTTCTATTCTCGTGTAAGAGTTCGTGGGTTAGCACTTTTCCGGAGTCCTATACTAAGACGAACCGACGGTCTATTGTTTTCAGGTTTTCAGTGATAGTTTAGCTTATATTGACTCGTGAATTCAACTGTTTTAAGCATCCAAACTTATCTACTTGATCAATTATTTAAAAGGATATGTAACTTTATACATTTCGATCAGTTGACAACCAGTTTTTGGTGCATAAATACATCATCTAAAAGTCTCGAGTCTCGTTCTGTTAAATAGTTATCAGTTCTTCAGTCAGAGCAAACAACCATACCATTAGCTATTAAGAAGGAAGTATATATATATAATTCATTAATGAATTACATTTCTGATTTGAGTCAGTTAATTTATCGATATTGCGAATCCCATACATATAATAGATTACTGATTGACTGTTGGCTGATTCATTCAAATTCATTGGTTGACGGAAAATGTAAAATGACATGTGATTTATTATCATTTTTATAGATGTCATTTTATTAGAAGCTAGTGACTAAATCAGCTTTCTAAAGTCTTATTTTCTTCCTTGCCTTGGCATAGCATACCCGTTCCTATGAAATAAGTTATATCTGATAGCTAATCTTTAGTTATAGCAAACAGTCATGTCATTAGCAGTAATTAGCAATCAATTTAAATCACAACACTGGCAAATCAGTCTTGTTACAAATGATTACAAGCAATAACAGAAAATTCTCCAAGACATTAAATTTTGAAATAAAAAGTACATTATTTAATAGGATGAAGTGTACATCCTGTATTCCATTAATAGCCACAATCCAAATAAAATGAAGACCCTGATAAAACTAGCTATGAATATATCAATTCCTTTGTATTGGTTGTTTGAATCTTCGCATTAATGTTAACAACTGCAATTGATTTGTCTCTTTTTAGTATATGTGCACCTAGTGTGGATTACCTTAATACTTCCATTAAGTCATAAGCATTATTAAAAAGTTGTATGGTAGCTAGCAGTGGTGATCCGCATAGGATGGACATATACTGATAAGAGACTGATCAAGTGCAGTCCTAAACACAATCAGAAGATTCAAAAGACTAATACAAATGAAGTAAAATTCATTTTATTGAACAAGCTAGTGACTATCTGAACTCAGTAGCCAAGTGGGTAATGCAATGGTGCTTGAAGCGAACAGTTTCGGGATGCAGGCATATCCAGATGAAGAGCATGAAGTAGGACGAAACGAGCCTCCTGGGTTTCATTACTAGTCATTATCCAACTCTACCATAAATATATCAGTTTTTATATTCCATAACAGCTCAACAGAATATTATATGCATTGATTGTAGACATATGATCGATAACAAGTCATATATATTATAGTTTTTCAATTATTTTTGCCTAATCTATTCTAACGCATGAAATCATTCATTAATTCCTAACAGTACGTCACAGAAAGTGTTAGGTCATTTGGAAAGCGTAAAAGAAGGTCAAGGGATTTAAGCGGTATAAAGCACGTGTATGTTATATTGTGGCGGGGAAAATAAAAGCCAAAAATAGCTTTTAGCCTTTTTTGTGTGTGTCATGAGTATTCGAAAAATTAAACATATTTTCTTAAAGTTACTCATGAATGGAGGATTCAGCTAGTTATAGAATAACAAAAGGGGGGAAATCTAGCCTCAATCTGAATAACTACAATCAGTAATCATCATTCCTTATGGATCACGAGTAATTCTAGTGTAGGAAATATGATAAACTAGCTATAAAACGTTGGATTGTTAGAAAGTTTGTTCATTTCTTTGATTGTAGACATGTACCAGTTGTTAGAGAATGCAAAGAGGTATGATATAAAGTAAGACTTCATTGTAATGTACATTAACAAAAGAAAGCAATCCTAGTCGGGATGTGTAGCATTTTACTTTATTGAATGAAATAAGATTTCCATTTACCTAATTCAGAATTATAGTCACTCAGTATTTATTTAAGTGATCTAAAGGCGTAAAACTCTTTTCAATATTATTCGAGCCAAATCAATATTTTAAGAATTCCAAAGTTTATTGAGCATTATGTCTTACACCACGAAATATATACAAGCAAAAAGAGAATGTAATAGATGGGTAGGTAGTGAACAATACACCATCACAGATAATAATTAAATGAATGTGTATTTAATACATAACTTGTCCAAATCCGAATTGTTCTCTCTAGCATACCTCTAGTTTAATGATATGACACATTATTAAATATGTGTCAGAATAGAAGCTAGTGAAAATCATGAAACTGTAAGGATAGCCCAAAATTGGAAAAGTATTTTTTGGTTGTATTTTTCCCAGTTTTTATATTTTTCATAGTATCATTCCTTCATCTATTTAATGTACATCATTTTTTGATACGTCATTGGACTACTTAACTTTATTGGTCAGTCATAAGTAACGAAGGATCTGATATAGTTGTATGTCAATTTAAGTTGCCACAGCATATCGGTACAGTGAAATGATTAAGATGAATCTCAGAGTAGTAGGATTAGTAAGCAAGATAATGATTCAAGAAAATATGATGAATTCTCAGAGTAAAACGTTTAAGATAGTTTTTAAAACTTAATGTTTGAAGAAAAACAAAGAGTGAATACATTTGGTCCATTATACATGTACTCAATATTCCTCAATATCCCCAACTACTACGATAATCGTGAGGACCCAAACCACATAGTCTGAACCTACCTACACTGTTCATTCTAACAGTCAATAATTTTATAAACTGATACTATGTCTTGATTTAATCGTTCTAATCATTGTGGTGATATGATAGGAAGAAAAGTCGAAATTCGATTGATTTATGGATTATGATTTTTGGTTCAATATTAATTCCGTTTTAATTCAATGTGGTGACTATTCAGTGTAGTATTCGATTTTATTTTATTCTGTATAACATACGATATTCTTATATTAAGTTAACATCGACTATACTCAGCATGCAACATGATATAACCCAAAGTATTTTTCATATATGTGGTTTCATTCTAATTATTAATCAAAAAATGGATGTATGAATCAATATATAAATGAGTGCATTTTCGACCAGGGTCGTCGTCATCGTGTTTTGAGGGTTCACTTATACCAGTCTTTGTGTTCTTATTTTCACGTCGTGATAATTGCAAAAGTCTCTCATTTTTGAGTATAATTGATAAGTGTTTCCGACATAACAATCAGCGACGATGAGATATAACAAATAGCGTTCAATCGACAAAGCATATCAGTATTTCCTCTACTAGTAAACAACACTTGTTGAGGTAGACACTACTTGGATATACGTACTAGGAGTATCCAACTAAAAACTTTTTTTCTAAAAAAAAAATCAATTTTATTATTTTGATTGGTCAACACAATTAGTTCACTTCATAGTAATTATATCAATCATTACAGTATAATATAATGACAAATTCCATTATGATCAATACATACATTTACACACTTGGTACTTCACAAATAAAACAGAGAAGAAGCATTATAAATTAACTGACAATGTAAAGAAAAGCAAAATCACAGGAGAAAAAGCAATTTGTTTTTTTAACAAAACAAAACATGATCAAGATGTAGGTGAATAAATAATCATAGTAGTAATAATATTGACAGAGACAATGATAAGTTATCTGTTAAGAATGATAAGATGACAATTGAACAAGATTTCATTGTTGTTGGTTTTAAAGATTGCTATGTGGAGTTGAGCAGTAATCATATGATAGAGACCATAGTCATACATAGAAAATAGTTAAATCAGTAAAATTAAGCTATACATTATCATGTTTGTGTATATCTGTGGACGTAAGGTGAATGGGAGTTGTGTTGAATTGTATTTTCTGATATCTTGTATTGGTTATTTTGTTCATTGAATAATGAAATGGAATTTTACATCAATGGTATACTATGAAATATTTGTCAAGAATTCATACTTGTGAGGATATATATAAATATATATAATTGATAGTGGATACAAATCTAAGAAGTAATGAACAATAAAGTGGGGTGGGGCAAAGGGCGGTAACAATGGAGAGATTGATGGAAGAAATCAATAAAATATTGTATACAAAGAGTTGTTGAGTTGTTTATACATGGATTTAATCAGAAAACATTATTCAGTAGTATAATAACAATATGGTAATATATTGGATAGTAAATTATCATATTTTATATCCAGAATAGTTTATTTATTTGTCTAGAAAAAGCAATAAGAAATTGACAAATTAATAAAACTAATTTCTAACCTAAATATTTTGAAAATATGAAACAAAACATGAGCTGAAGTAAGTTAGTAAGAATGAACACAGCTTTTTCCATCCCCCCTCAGTATATAATTGTCTCTATAACAGTGTACACTTATCATCTCGTTGGGGATGGAATATATGACTGTTAGATTTTGATGGGAGTATTTTGAAGTTTAGTAAATACTAAACCCTTGGACTGTAACTCAGTAGTTTGTTGGTTAATCATTTCTTAAGAGACTTGACTAGTCCAGATATGATGTATATTAGACAAACAAATTAGGAATGAACCTCTGATTTGCTAAAGTTGGAGGAAACGATGGTCATTATATATGTATAATGGACTACATACCACCTTAGTGAAACAGTGGTATTGTTCTCACCACTGTGATGTCTGAAAATCATAAGTATTATCCTGTGTGCGAATATGAAGTTGAGGTTGCATAATCTCTAGAAGTTACAGATGAAAACGGGAACATGTGCCAAATATTCATTAGTTTTTTTAGTAATTCATTGCTTGAAAATTGCTTTCAAAATACATCGAATTAAGTAGTTAAATACACGTACAACTTATGAATTGACTTTAGTTGGACGACCATTAAAAACTGGAAAGTTTTGATTATGTGTTTTACCTTATTATTAGACTCCTAATCAATGTACATCCATAAAACCACGAGGGATAGAACTGAGGACTTTCAGACCTCGCCGACAGCGCCTAGTCAGTTGTCAAAGCCCAAAGATTTTGATAAAGCCGTAAATGTAAACTGTGGGGTCTTAAAGTAAGATGTAATAGATGTCCACCGTTCACCTGTTAGGTATGCAGAGGAATATGCCAATAATTATCGTGTTAAGTCGAATGGTGTCCTTGAACGTTAAATGGACATTTCCCATTGGTCGATGTTTGTTTCACTTGTTAAATATTGTGTAAATGTTTTTTTTCTATTTTATGGTACGATGTGGTTTGTTTGGTTAGTATATAAATAGAGTATGTCTGAAATACAATGATTCATATCTCAGAGGCTGTGACTTGCGTTTTAGACTCGACTGGCTGGGCTAGACAGGGAAGCGTGACCAATCAGAACTCTAGGTCGTCCGTACGTGTTTACGTGTCACTGAAGCAATCGACCGATAAAACACTGCTTATCAAAACCTGCAGTCCACCCGTTACAACAATAGGTTTCATCCTAGCTGGTACTCATCATCAGAGTTTGACTTGAAATCTTCTATAGAAACCTACTCACTTAGATTAGTTCAACATTACAATTGAAAGCAGATCTCAATCTAATTCTATCATATTATTTTCATTAATACCATTGAACTAATAAAGTTTTCCAAACCAACAAATTGAAATAAACAAATTCTATGTAGAAAATTTTTTTAAAATTGATTAAAGAACATTCCTGAATTCATTTAAAAATATTCACAAAAGTTTTTGATGGATGGTTTAGTCGTGGAGCTTTCATCGTTTTTCTGAATGACATCATCAGCAAAACTTCATCTGAGCTACAAATCTTCCCCACCATCTTAAAATTCATAAAAGTCTATTCACATATTATTTCTTCTTTATATAATCTCAGTAAACTAGGCAACAGAAACTAACTGTTAACCTCATATAATTCTATTTTATTTATTTAAATTTTGAACTAGAATAATTAACTGTTTTTCTTGAAAAAAACAAACAAACAACAAAACAAATAAGTTAAACTTTTATTCACAGAAGAATTTCTCGATAGAAACACAATAATCAGAACAACTTCGAATGAAATCAAACTAGTTGCGTTTTGCGTGCATATATATATATATATATCCTCTATTCTGACAAATAATATTAATTAATTTTCAGTACTATATTATACTCCATAGTTATGTTACTATTATGATTATTAGTTCTACGGTTATACACATACATGACCTTAGATTAGCATAGGCTAAGGTGTTGATATTACTGTCGTTGTAAATATACCTTCTCTTCTACTTTGTTGTTATTGTTTTTCTTCAAGCATAAAACAAAAATATATTATAAGATCCGTTGTGAACACACGAACGCACATCAACACACTGATGCGTACACATACACACACACAAAAAAAAGAATGCTAAGAACTTCAGCTGTATATTTTAACAGAAATAGGAAACCGAGAAAGAATTCATTTAAGGAAATAAGTATAGAATAAGATGAACATAACAAAAATTTAAAGTTTTCCAAAGAACAGAGTCAACTCGAAACAAAATAAACCTTGAGGGCCTATAATTAGTTTTATTTTAAATATGTTCATGTGTGTGTGTGTATGACAAAGTGAGTATGTGAGAGAGAGAGAGATAGAGACAACGGGATAGAGTTGGAAATAAATACGGCCAACTTGAATGTGATACATAGGATAAGTTAACTGTAAGCACGAATCTATTTCGAGACTAGTGCTTAATCAGAAAATATACACACCTACATATGCATAGATTCACTCACATATAGTAAGTTATTTGTCAGTTATTATTTTCAAATTCACGTGGTAAGACTCAATACCATAAATAACACGAGGATAATAATAATAATAAACATTGTAAATGGATGAAGTTAGATTACCAAAAGCAGTTCTTGTAACCCAAAAAGACCGGAAGTATCACTAGTGGTAGTCGTACAGCAAAATAAGAAAATGGTCAAATTAGGACGATAGTAATAACTGGAATAGATACACACACTAATATATATATATATATATATATATATATATATATATATATATATATATATATATATATATATATATATATATATATATATATATATACCCTTAGTAGAATAAAAGTAGGTCAGGTTATCATAAACCGAAAATTTGTCTTTTTCTTTAAGAGCTATTAGAGAATCAAATCCCGACTGTGTTTATGTAAATATGTGTGAGTGCGTCTATGTCCCATGATATTTATAACATGGTGTAAGTATTTCATACTATATTAGTGACTACTTTCCCATATACATTCATTTTAACTATACAAAACTAATATCGGTAAATATACTCATGTATGTATATTACATGGAAGTGCATTGATGCCTAGTCATTTAGATATGTATATGACAAGTGAAAAACGAAACCATGAGACGTCAATGTAGACAAAATGTTAAAACTGTTTCTCGAGATTTTTAGGAAGCAAATTAGGATGGCATCAAATAGACCTATAAACACAGAAATTATTTTCCAATACAAATGTATGCCGGAAGTGAACAGTAGTAAAAGTGGTATTATTTAGAAAAGTAAATAAAGTTTTACTATTATCAGTAGTCATCGAGTTTAATTGTTGATTATAAACTTATCATATAATAATATTCTAATCATCATTATTAATGGAGACAATAAGAGATGATTGCATTTCATCATGTCAAATTATTTAGTCCTTAAAAATAGTATTATTATTATTATTATTATCGTAACAAATATTGTTGAACTTACTCATGGAATATATGGTTATGTAGACTAGGTGTTGAGGTTTTAGGAGGTTTGAGGTAGGTGGTCAACAGCATAAGCTGTTTAACTTGGTTTTGCTAATTGGCACTCGTCGAGAAGACGTAAATGTAATAATGAAGAAACTGATGCTGACTAAACGAATAGAATCTGGTTGAGTTTTGATTTTGGATCAAATGATTTGCAACTTTGGTCAGAGTTTTTAATTACCTATTGTTGACATTCAGAAAAACAGTCGACTAGTCTCTGTTGTTATATGTGCATCCTGAGCGAACTGCCTTGATATGGCATTGGGTCATGAGTTATAGTATATTTGGCACGTAGTCAACAGTGGAATCTAGAACACGCGTTTCGTCCCACTTGGGACTCTTCGGTATTGAAGTACACATCCAAAATCGAACTCGCTATATATTGATTCAAAAATGAACGCGTTATTCAATGTGCTACTGAGTAGATACAGTCATTAAACTGCCTAACGGTCGCGAAGGTGGCTATTTAGAATCAGTGTCACAGTGAATAGAGCACTTGAGTTTCAACTGAAAATTACTGGGTTTGAGTTTCGATTTGAACATCGACAGTATGTTGGAACTGACATATTCCGAATGGAGTAAAACATGTGTTCTGGGTTCCACTGTTAGCTACGAACTAAATATACTAGAAGTTTTCAATTAACGTCATGTCGGGACAATCCACTTAAGAAGCACATATGACAACAGATACTGATCAATTGTAGTCCTGAACATCAGCAATAGGAAGTTACAAATCCTTAATAAAGTTACATAGCAGTTGATACAAAATGTTTAAAATCTAATTCAAGATTCTATACCAATCAATTAGGCCAGTAACAGTATTCGAATGAACGGAGCTCTGTATTACTGAGAGTAATTTTTACATTATTCAACTACTTCTTTTAAAAAAAGTACTCAGGTTCTTTAAGATCAATGTGTATTATTGAACTAATTTGTAAAAAATTCTTTTTAATTTTCAGCCATTCTGGACATAAACTGAATAACATCACAACACTTGATTTCACTTGACTTTAAACCAGTAACGTCAGCAGTTCAGTGTCTATTGTGTCACTTCTAGACAACTGAACACTGAAAGCCGATTAATCAGTCAGTAACAGGCAACGTAGAACCTGGCACCTATATTCATTGACTTAGTTTGTTACAACACATCAGTATGGTCAGAAGAAATTATCAAGGTAACTATCAGAGTAATAGAAATTGTAGCGGCATCACTAGTAGTAAAAAAGAATAATTATGAACAAGTTAATTTGGAAAGAAGGGACGTATTCGTGAAATAAAATATATAAGTATTTTGTGAGAAAGAGTGAATGTTTCTACGTACTAGCTATGATAGTCGCGTAGATCATAATGAGGTAGTCTGCATCTGCTTACCCAACTGATATGGGAAGAGATAAACATTAAAACGAACTTTACTGAAATTTAAAATCAATAATTCTGGAAAATTTATATTAATATGTTTTAATCATTTATTTTAAGGAAGCAGTCCCATGCTAGAACGAAATGGCCGTCCAGTACTTTCAGGTTTCCAATGGTGACCGAACTTGATTCGGCTCACGATTTCAATGAAATGCAACATTCTCCACAACCCTTTGTTGACAACTGTTATGTGCTCACTAGTGACTAGCTTTGAGAAAGAATTTGCGGAGTTTTAGTAAGAAGTCATAACTAGTGGAGCTAATCCATATAGGCTATGAGGCAGTTACCCACCGAAAACAACGAAAGGTGGTCTCTTAATGTCGTGGATTGATGGAAGTCAGGCATAAATGCTGTCAGATGCCGACTCAGTGGTCTAAAGGTTCGACGTTCTCATGTGAGACCGAAAGTCCTGGATTTGATTCTCACGTGCAGGTCCGCTAATGCACACTGGAACGAAACAACCGTCCAATGCTTCCAGGTTTACAATGGTGGTCCAACCTAGATTGATTCATCATTTCAATGGAATTTATTTATTTATTCTAAACAGTAATTATTGGTCAATAATTAGTACACCTGTTCACACCTTTTGATATCTAATAAACAATATACATATATACCTATGAGTATTCATTTTGTACTGTAGAATATTTATTTTTATCTCAAACTTTTAGATACAGCTCAAAATGTAGTAATTGACAAGTAACCATCTGCTTTGAAATTTTTTTACTCATTCACAAGTACCACTATTACTATTATCAGTGCTACTAGTAGTAATGTTAGTAATGATAATGTTCCTCATTATTATTATTATTATTATTACTATGGTATATATTAGCGTAAGTAAGTAAAGTATAAATGTCATAAAGAAATAGCTAATTTTTTCATTTCATACAAAAATATGTTACACTAATAAAAATTATACAGTTAAACTAACAACAATAAAATTAATTCTAAAAGACAAAAGAGAAAAGAAAACCACCAAAGGAAGACATTTTCTTTGCCCATAGTTCTTGACACAATAATGGACATGAGATGTAGAAAAAAAACGCAAAATAAGATAGAACAGAACAAAAAGCAACAACAACAAGTAAAAATGTGTAACATATAATGATCTTCTTTCTACCCCCTAATCTCTCTCTTTCTCTCTTTCTGTTCCTCCTTATATCTGATTCTCTATACAAGAATACATAGATTGTAGAGAAAGTGATAAACATTAAGATAAAGTAATGGAATGTATGGAACTTGATGGTGATGTATATTTAAGGAATTATTCTATATTTTTTTTTAAATAAAAAATTAACTTAACAAATGTAGACAAGTTTATATGTACATACATACATACATACATACATAACTTATAAAAAAATGAAACAGATGAATGTAACTAATATCAAGTTATATAGATTAAAGAATTTAAGATAGTGAAATAGTTTTCTTGGAAAAACGAAAAATTCAAACTCAAGAAACGCAAAGTGAATGAAAGAGAATTTAACACAATATGCAGTAAAACAAACAAACAAACAAGCAAATATTGCATACTTAGATATATGTATAAACTAATCATACAGAGAAAGAAACTATATCATGGTATACATGTTATACAAGACACGAGATAACAACAACAACAACAACTATAATAACAATGAGAACATGATAGGATACATGTTATACCTGAGGAAATATCTCCGTACACACTACGTATATATATATCATAAACAAGATAGGTAACAGGTGGTCAGTCAAAGATATTCATTAATCACTATTTTCTTTTTTCATTTTGATAATAACGACGGGAGAAAAAGAAAATCGAAAATCGGAATAATTTTTTTCTTCTACAATTATATATTTTATAAATTAAATGAAACTAAAAATGAAACACTGAATTATAAAATTTTGTTAAAATGAGACAAAGAGGATGAAGAGGTGTATATATATGTGTGTCTGTATGTAGGTGTTTTTTTCCCCGAAAATTCTGTTCAGAATTAAATTTATTGTATTGATATATTTCTAGTCGAGTTCAAACATGTCGGGAGTAGAACGACTGTCATCAAGGGATTTGATGATTGTTATTAATATATTGTGAATGGATTATATTTGGAATTATACTATTGGACACCGATTCAATGGCGTAAATTGCTAAGCCTCTGCTATGAAATCTAAAGGTTCTAGCTTTATTCCCTATCAGGGTCATCAGTTCACATTATCATTGAGGAATCCCAAACTAGGACTAAACGGATATCTAGTACTGCTTAGTTTTAAGTGAAATCTTAATTGATGACCATCTATGATGAATTAAAAGCTACCAGTTAGACCATTTCCACAAAAAACCTTTTAACCGATAAAAATATTAAATATTAAGCGATCACAGTAGGGTTTGTGGAGGTTAATATCAAGCGTAGTATGAAATATTTATTACTAACTGACACAATCACTTAGAAGAACTCTTGCAAATCCCTGAGCACGAGTACTAGTGTTTTATTCTAGTTATAACAGTAATCAACCATTCGACATTTATTTCTAATTTGCAAATAATACAATTTTGAAGTATATATATCGTAACAGATGCAAACGTTTACCATTTTTAACACATAACATTGTCAAATTCATTAATACATGCCTTATTTTTAGCCCTTGTAAAATATCATAATTATGGACTTATAACTGTAGAGCCTGATGATGAAGTTATTGAAAACAATTGTTTGCTCAAATATTCTTCATGGATATTAAAATAAGAACTTTCAAATCTGACAATGAAAACGGTACTTTCAGTTTGGTAAGCTAGAATTTCATTGTTCATTTATTCAATTTCAGTCAGTTTTGGGGTGATTGGCATCAGTCATGCAAACGCCATACATCTGTGGACAACTGCTACATGCCCAAAGATTTTCTTGAATTGGCTGAACTACAATAGTTACAACCTATCATTAGAACTCCACGAATCTCCATGTTGAAACCAGCAAAAATAGGTAAGTTGGTGAATCAGAGCCACCCTCAGGCAATATAATCTTTCACTGAAACTTTGCATCTCGAACAGGATATACATTATATTATATTTTCTTTTATTAATAAAAGCTTAAACTTTGAGTAAAGTTTCTTCCATTAAAAAGTCATTGAATAATTCTTTGGTTACATAGATGTCGGTATACATTATTCAACATAAAAAAGTAAGAAAAAACATCATCAACATACTCGATTCACAGGTCAGTTTCTTGAAGTTCTAGGTGCTGTTTGAAGGTGTAGAGAAAGCGAACCGAGAGAGAGGGAGAGGGAGAATCAAAGACAAACAACAGACAAGTTAAGAGAAGAACAAGCAAACTGTTATTTCAAAATGTATTATTATGATTATTAACATCTATTTTTAGTAGTAAGATTTGTTTAATTTATTTACTTAGTTAAAAAAACTACTAATCATTTGATAAAACGTTTACCTGTGGTAGAACAATACATTCTCAAAATCAGTTTTGTTTATCACTGGGCTATCATTGGTTTATGACTGATCTCCTGCAATGACTGGGATATTTTATCAATAGCTAGCTAAATACTAACAAAAAATAATGTAATAATACAATCCCATTATTGCTGATTCAATTCTATCGATCAACTTGCAATATGCTGGTTAGTGTCTAAGGTTTTTATATCGTAAACACTACGCTTTGATGTATGGTGAATGAAACTGTTAGACAGGGACTAACGCTCCATGACTTCAAAAGTCATTATAGAACCGTTACTGTTCATGCGATTGAATAGCATTAAATAATGCCATGGTTGATGCTTGAGTTAGACCGCTTCAATGATGAACAAACTTTCACTTATAGATAAATACTCATAAATACCCGTTTTGTGTAAATTCATTATCTTGAAATATGCAAGTTAACGAGTAAGTGATAAAATATTTTCATTCACTTTCGATTACGAAAAACATATCTGGTGAATGAATAAATATAGGATCGCATCCCACCCATATTGGTTTTATTGTATTCATTCTGCGTAATTAATGCTTATTATCATTCAGTTTCGACGTCTACTTCATACATGAATGTGAAGTAGCTATGTTTTAACTATTTAGACTTTTACTACTTAATTAATTATCAGTAGTTAACCATAAAATTTGACTTTTGAAAAAAAAAACTTACCTGCACTTTTGCAGCAACCGGATCGATGAGTATTGCTTGAACATTTTCTGCTTGTAGATGTATGCTTTGACGATTAGGTTTGACTATTTCTTCGGCCTGTCGAAATACATATAAATGCAAGATAAGTGAGCCAGTTATAAAAAAAGCTTTATAAATTAGCAACAAATATACTTTGGAGGTGTCAATTGACTGACTCTAACTTTTAACTTCATTTTGTGATGCCAAGTGTTCAGCTAAATACCATCCGAAGGACTACTGAACGTTATAACGATGATATATATGGGGATATCAATAATATTGTTTCATCATCCAAGGAAATTACATGGAACTTCATTCGTTTATACCAAGTTACAATATAGCTTTCTTTAAAAGGATGAATAAAAAAAATACCCTGTTGGGATCACCATATCGGAAATGCACATTTGTTTCGGGCTTAGCCACCGTTTAACGTATTATTGATGACATTATTTCAGGCTAAATCTTGAACTAGATCATTGAATTATAAGCTTGGAAACTGGAATTTTTTATAGTGATAACGTTAGTTGATACACTATCAGATACCTGGTTTCAATAACTACCTAATGATTGGCGTTTTTTTAAAGCCTGATTCGAATCATGACTTAATGATCTTAAAGCTTTAAATTATTGACTAATGGTTGATTTTGAGGGCAAATTTTAATATTTCAGAAAGATATTTGATTATCAGTACTCACAATTGATTGATCAATTTCATGCGTGTCTAGTCCTTATTGGTGCAGATCGCCACCCAGTGATCAATCAATTGTGATTACATCTCAGTCCTACAAGAGGTCGGTCGCGGCTCAGATAACTCAATGGTAACGTCTCTGACTGTGAAGCTGGGTGACACGAGATTTAATCCGCCAGGGAGCACCAGTTCCCTCAAGATTACAGGTACACCTTGCTAACGAGTGCCAAGTAGCACGAAACCGGGGTCCAGGGTTTCCTGTCGACTACCTCCAACCACCATCTAATCTCGATAATCGGTACTGTCAAATCGATTACGCTAAACATAAAACTGTAGAATATTTGATTTTCAAATGACCACACTGTGTACTGATTGGATGCATAATGAGACTGTGAATGGGCAGATGAAACCACAAATCTACAGACTGCTAGTTCAGTTAAAAATCTCTTACAGAGTAAAAAAGCAAGGAGTCCATGGGCTTGCTCATGTATATCATGACACCACTAAGCAGAAGAGGTTAATGTTGACTTCCAGGAAACAAGCATTTTGTATCCGTACCGCGATTTTTGTGAATAGTGTTGTTTCCCAGTAACGTGAATTTATCTACTCAGTTTACTTTACATAATACGACAGAGAATCATGAACATCCACTCGTCCTTTAAAAATGTTCTCGTGTTGCTGCGCATTCATAGCTACTGCAAGGGCAAACGCGAGCAAGCACTTGTTACATTTTTCATGGAGCCATGGAAATAATGAGTGTAGTCGCTTCAATGTTAGTATAACGTCCAGCTTATAAGCACTAGATTTTTGAATGCTCCTTTCAACAGTTTAAGGCAGATCGGTATACGCCTGATAACTTTGATTTTGGTGATAAATGTGAATTTTTACGTAATAAAATCATGCCGAATTTGCATAAGGACTAGGACAATGGATGGAGCGTGCCATCAACGTGAAAGCAGCATTTGCATCTAGGATGTACAAAAACCCGTTTCAACTCCTCTGAGTCACTGGCGGCAAGAAGTCTGGTGTAAGTGAAAAAATCTGTGAGGTTGGTGGGATGTCGATCAACAAGCTTCAACAGAATCTTGGATCGTGAGTAGAAATTTTTGAGGGACAGCTCTCCAGGTTCCATAAATCACTAAGCCCAGTCGACCTACTTCAATGTTTCTTTAAAGAACGTAGAGAACCTCTGGTTAGATAACTGACTGGGTTGTTTGGACGGTTTTGAGAAATAGATGACATTATGTAGATTTTTAAAAGTTCCTACATTGCTTCTTGGAACGTACCAGAAACCGAAAAATTCTCTTCTAGACTGACTGGCGAAATTCCAGAATTTATTACTGGCTTTTATAAACATTTCAATTTTTAGATGATACTATGATTTTGGGGTCTCACTTGCATTTGTACACGTCATTTTTTTTCCTTCTATACGTAAACAAATCACACAGTAAATTTTCAAATATAGTCATATGAGTCTAGAATTTAATCATGAGTTAAATCATCACTTCACTGTTTCTAAATTAAGATGGAATAGTAAAAGTTCTCTTCTTTTCAAATAAGGAGTAGCTATACAATGGCTAGCTCTAGTATTATGATGGCAATCCGGTAAGGCTGTATATATCCCAATGGAGATTGATCAAGGGGAAAATTAACAGTACTTACAAATATGTTATAATTGTTTTACATGTCATTTAGCCAAAAATCATCTCTCCATTTTCATTCAGTCTTTTTTACTCAATCCCATAATGTTTTCTAGATCAGTTGAAATCATCTTACTGTGTATTTGCCAATCATAATCAATACAATAAATTTAACTGCATTATGTTTACTACTGATAAATGGAAATTAAGTAGCAAAACATGATGTAGCGCTGGGATCAAACGGATGATCGAGTAATTCATTTTTATTGATTTGTGACATGTATTTTGGTGACATTAGTAAATAGATTCTCATGATAATTTATAGAACGGTTGGTTCAGTATGACATTAATTTGTATTGTTCACATAATATTAATGAAGGAACTGGTCGGTTACACTAATAATGTAAAACAAATATTTACATAAATGAAGTTATTCAAATATTCTTTTGGAATCTAATATTTGGATGGTAAAGTTCATCTTTGTTTTCCCTCTGTATTTCATGGGTTTAGTTGTATTGCGTTTGTGTAGGGTTAAGTGAATACAAGAATTACGTTTTCTGTAGTACATCGGCGGTGGGTTTGAAATTCAATAGTGTATACATTTGGTATTTAATAACAGTGTCAATAGAAAATGAGAAACACTTTCACTTGTCAACAGTCTATTCGGGATATATACAAACTAGTGGTAAAGTGAATGTCATTCTTTTGAGAAAATATCTATGTATCTGTTCAGCTTCATACAGGTTTGAGAAAACACTGTTCATCCCTTCTACCTACAAATAATTCTCTAAGGTCAAATATTTATTTACCCAACTCCTTCGCCAGACACAAATTAGTGTTCGTGGCTTCAGGTTACACTCTTAACGTGGAGTTTGGTAACACTTTAAGGTTACTCAGATCGAAACAATTTGGGCGTAATTCAAACATGCCAATTAATAGTTGTTAATCAAAAACCTTGCCCACTGAAACATCAGTCCACCTTAAAAATATAAGTGTTTGAATGGAACACGTATGACATTTAAAATGTAAACATAATGTTTATTATCGAGTACATGTACAGAACAAATTAATTGTGATAGTAAAACTTACAAAGATACTCGTATGACTGGCATCGATTTCAATAGGACAAACAAGCTCAGTACTTGCATCATCATCACCAACACCACTAACATGATTGTGATGGTTGGACTTGTGTCCACGGTTAGAATTGAAAATATTTTTCTTTTTCGTAAACTATTTATATTTTCAAAAGTGTTAGATAAAACGATAAAAACAAAGGATAAAGAGTTAAGCATTTTATTAAGATCATGAACCGAAATCCAAGTTAGACAATCAATGAGAAACAGGAAGCACTGGATAGGTGCTTTTTCCTAGTATGTTAGTCGTTACCAGTGTTTATCCGCAACTTTGTAACCAGGGATTGAACACAGTATGTCGGTCTCAAGCTCAAACGCTGAGCCTCCAGACTAATGATCTAGAATACAGTGGTATACAAGTCTAACTTCAGTCATTAGAGATATTACACAACCATGTTCCATTGTCTTCGGTGGGCACCTTACTCATACTGACAAGGTTGGACTCCACTGATTTACTCACCGATGACCATGTTTGAGAGAAATCTAAGTCTACTAGGTTTAATATTATGAGGTCAGGACTGATCAGTTTGAAGAGATGGGGACGATACTCTACACCACAGAGTTGGAATCCAGTAATCCATATTTTGCAATTTCAACTGGTTCATGAATATAAAAGGTTAACTATTTTCAAGTTCTTTATATATTACTTGTTTAACTTTAATCAAGGTTAAAATCTAAAGGTCATTACGACTTACTAAGTTTTCGAAAATTACATACAAAGCTAGTTATCAACAAGCAGCATTTCACAGAGTAGATGGATTGTGGTTAGAATCTTGTCACATTGGAACTCGAATCCACTACCTTTCACTTCAGTCCATCTATTTTACAAGAATTTGTGACAAATCAGCTACACAGAGACAATCTACACAGGGTACAGATATAAAGAGAAAAACAGGACAAAACCCAGTCCTGAATCTTAGCGAGATGGTTTAAACTCGTATTTGAATGAAGTAGTTTCGTAATAGACTTTAAACTAGTTTCTTAATAACTGAGGACTTTAGTTCCTTCTATTCAAAGATTGGATAGTGAAATCAACCTCCATTTTATCATCAAATTAAATTACCACGATTTAGTTTGGTAATTTCATGTAACTTGAGAATTGGGTAAATTGTTTATAGTAATACAATAATACTAAATGGATGGACCGTGGCTAAGAGTGGAATTCCGAACACGTGCTTCGTCCCACTTGGTATCTATCGACCGAAAGTAGCCTGGATCTCACTGCTAGTGACTTTCGATTTATGTAAATCTGCGAAAAATGGCTATATCGAGGCTCAGTTCCATGGCTTTCCCCACATAACGAAATAAAATAGATGAGAAAGCACAACTCCTCCAACATAAAAGTTTCCTAAGTAATTATTTACTTTCTTTAAATTAACTAACAAGAAATGTATTCACTTACTTTGATTTTAGAATGTATTGTCAGTGGATTATTATTATTAGTGGTTTCGTTATGTTGTTTGCGCTTCCATATATCTAACCCAACAAGTTCAATAAATTTATTTGTTAAATGTCGTCTAACAAGTGATTTCACTGGAGGAATTCGCAAAATATCAGCTAAAAGATCTGGTGTAAAACGATCTTCAAGAATCTTTTAGAGTAAAAATGAGAAATAAGAAAATAGGATATAAGTTAAACTAATATAGTGGTGTTATTAATAAATTAGACTACCGGTCATAAGCGTAACCATAAAAACTTTCAGCTCTAGGAGAGGGTCTCAATACATGGATTAACTGGGTATCGTCTAATATTACACTGGAATCACTAGCCGATATAAGTTAAACGAAATTGGGGACCTGGAAGCACTGAACGGTCTTTTCAGCTTAATATGAGACTCTTCCGTGATGCGCATCTATGACCCCGAAACCAGGAATCGAAATAAAGTTCTTCAGTCTCGCATGGTAACGCCTAAGTGGTAATGGAGTCGAAGATGTACACTGATAAGAAGCTCAATAGTAAGAAAAACAGATATCCAGTGGTTCCAGATTGACAGCGTTCATGTTACGTAGATAGTTTCATCATCTCAATGAAATTCAACAATTTCCACAATTCCATACTGATAATTATCATCTAGTAGTCGTCTACTAGCTATGCCTGTAGTCCTTCAAATGTTAATGCCGGTCCCAAGCCCGGATAGAGATTGAGGGTCGAACATGGTATCAGCAGCCCCATTCCGTAGAAAACAATCTTGCTAACAAAACGACAACCAAGAAAAATAGTCTAAACCATTTGAACTCTGTCATGTGAGTTGAAGTATCTTCATTTACAAGAATTATGACACCTAAAAGTGAAAGCCGAAAGTCTTCGGAAGTTAAGAGGGCGATGCTCCTACTAACAACCAGAGCAGCAATTGACATAGGTAAATGGTATGTCTGGACAATGTAGGAGACCGGGAGGAACAGTCAAATAGTTGTGGAAATAAAGAGATACAACATAGCAGTTCTCGAAACAAGTGAAACCCATTGGACTTAAGCTGGACAGGGAATATTAACTTCAGGAGAGGTGATTATGTACTCTGGTCATGAGGAAGGGAATGCTTCGGATATACAAGAAGTTGCTCTAATGTTGTCCAAAGAAGCACGAAAAGCACTTGTAGGATGGGAGTCTCATGGATCCAGATTTATCAAAGCATCCTTCAAAGCAAAGAAGGATAAGTTCATAATGGATGCTGTCCATTGCCATGGACAAATCAATAATAGCAATGAAAACGATAGAGACCAGTTTTACGAGAGAATGTAGTCGACCGTTGATAAGTACTCAGGAAAGGACCTGATCATCCTGATGGGAGGCCTAAACGCCAAAGTCGGAATGGACAACACCGGGTATGAAGATATTATGGGTCTACATGGATAGACTAGGAGAAAGGAACGAGAATGTTAGGAGATTTGAAAATTTATGTGCAATTAACAAAATGGCTATATGTGACACTATATTCTCCCCCCCCCACAAACACATAAACAGAACTACATGGGTTTCACCGGATCACACTACAGAGAAACAGTTAGATTATATTTGAATAACTTCAGATCACCACCTGGTGGCTGCTAAGATGAGACTGAAGCTAAAGAAGCACTGTACAACTGGAGAAACAGCACTACAAAGGTTTATTACAGCCTTCTTTCTAGATACTGAGAAACTCGACGAATTCAAGAGAGTTATCAGCAACAGGTTCCAAGTTTCACAAGATCTACTTAAAGAGGAAACTACCATGAAGGACAACTAGAAAGCGATCCAAGAAGCAGTAGTTTTGAAGAGTCAGGAAGTACTAGGCCGCAAGAAGCATCATCATGAAGAATGGACCTCCACGTATACCATGGGCAAGATTTACGAAAGGAAGAACAAGAAAAAAACAATCAACAACAGCCGAACAAGAACAGAGGAAGTTGAGGCATAGACCGAATGCACAGAAGCAAGCAAGAGAGCGAAGAGGAGCACTAGAGTCGATAAGCAGAAATACGTTGATTTCATAATGACAGAGGAAAGGTTGCAAAAGAAGGAAATATGATACAACGAAGAGGGTAAGAGGTAAATATAGTAAACCAAAACGACCGGTCAGCAACAAAGAAGGCAAACGAATTAGTAAGATTGGAAAACAGCGGAACAGGTAGGTACAGCACTTTGAAAAACTCTTGAATAGACCAATTCCTATGAACCCACCAGACATCGGAGCTGCACCTACAGAACTTCCTACAAATCTCGTTCCACCAACAATCAAAGAAATAAGCATGGTCACTAAGCAAATCAGGAGTGGGAAAGAAGTGTTACCAGACAATATAATATCTGAAGCACCGAAGTCAGATATAGAAATAACTGAAAATATGCTCCGTGCTCTATTCAGGAAGATTAGGTAGGAATAGCAAGTGCTGACTGACTGAAAAGAAGGACATCTTATCAAAATACCAAAGAAAAGAGATATGTGCAAGTGCGAACACTACAGAGGCATCACACTACTATAAGTACCATGCAAAGTTTTTAATGGAGTGTTGTTGAACCGAACGAAAGATTCAGTAGACGCCCAACTTCAAGATCAACAGACTGGATTCCGTAAAAACCGGCTGTGCACAGATTAAATCGCGGCACCACGAATCATCGTCGAACAATCAGTTGAATGAAATTCGCCGCTATAGACAACTTCCTTGACTATGGGAAAGCGTTAAACAGTGTGGATAGGAGAATTTTGTGGGACCTACTTCGACTCGATAGTCTATCTGAGATCGTCAGCATCATATTGAATTCACTACACTGCAAAGCGGTGAATGGAGAACAACTGACAGATGAATGCCAAGTGAGGACTGGTGTCAGACAATACTAATTACTCTCACCCTTTTTATTCTTTGTGGTAGTCGACTGGATTACGAAGACCTCCATATTTCAGGGGAAGCATAGAATACAATGGACAGGTTGGATGCAGCTAGACGGTTCAGACTTTGCAGATGATCTAGCTCTTCTCTCCCATACACACCAACAAATGTAGGTGAAGACAGACAATGTAGTAGCAGCCTTCGCAGCAGCGGGCCTCAGCATACAAAAGGAAAAAAAAAGATCCTCAATTACAACACAGAGGGTACTAACCCAATCACACTTGATGGAGAAACTCTGAAAGAAGTGGAAAATTTCACGTACCTGGACAGCATCATCGATGAATAAGGAGGATCTGTCTCAGACGTAAAAGCAATTATTTGAAAAGCAAGGGCGACCCAGGACACAGTTGGCTGGAGAATCTTTATGGGCGTCCTATGCTTCCATGAGGGTAACAGGCGTAATTAAGTCGTCTAACAGCTAATCAGTGCTTTCCTTTACATATTGTGATGAAGAAAAACTTGAAGGTAGTGCTTATGAGATGATCATTGAAGATTAAACATTGTAATGCTTCTCAACAGGCGTTCGATCCCTTTAAACGACTAGCCCTTCATTTTTCACGGAAATACCGTTTTCTTTAAAGTCGTATTAAAAGATTTACACCGATGTTTTAGAGGCATATAAGAAAATCTACTCTACATTTTATTATGTAGTTGATTAAAGTGTATAAAATCAATACAAACTAAGAATTTAATCATTAACAAATGAATTCCTATAAAGTAAGCGCGTATACGCTCATGAGAATTATTATAAAATACCTTCAAATATTTAGTAGAGAACGAAGAGAAAAACTTATGTTTTTCAGTTTATATGAATAAATATGAGAACTATTAAAGATCAATTTAAAATGAGATTTATTTAAACCACGCAAAACAATCTAAGCTTAATTAGTTTACTATAGTTTTTGATTATAGTTAGTAAATTGACTGATGTGCACTTTTATCTCATTTAGTACTTATCATCTGAATTTACCTACTTGTATCCAAGTGCTTAAATGTTCAAACTACGACTTGGACTTGGTATCAATTACTTCAAACACCAATCTGTTATTTACCAAAAGTTACTATGTTACTATGTTGCCACGTAGCTTATTCAATGGATATTTGTTAGAATTTGTATCTTTCAATGATTCATAATAAAAACTAGATTGATTACTCCATTTTTGATATATAGGCTTCTTTCACTATTGCCTCAGTATAACCCTTGGTCATAAATTTCATTGTTAATGTTTGGGTGATCCAGAAAATTCCACGGAAAAAAGCCAGAAGAGGCTCTAAAAATGCTGAGAAACATCTTATCCAATGAGCATTCAATAGAAGCTTTGCCAGAAACATTTAGAGAGTGAAAAGTTACACGTCGCGTTCCTCATTAGATGATTACCCATACTACTACAATGTTTAGTAACGTTCCAAAAATTTCCAGAAGCTCGGAGTCATCTAAAATGCTATAAATACCCTAAATTTTTTATGCATGGCCGAACCTTGGAGTAAAGTATTTCTTCCATATTTCGCGCCTTTCCTCTCGTGTTCAAATCGTTGCGTAGGTTTAGCCTGATGGTTACTAGAAGAGCTTAAAGGTCGAATTTAGCGTTCAGTTACAAGACTTATTAGTTGACCATTATTCTAATGTATAATGCACTTGTAATTATCGACAGTACTGAGTCATTCACTTAAGCCCAACCCAATATTTAATAAATAAACTGAATGGATTTACAGTTCAGAATAATAACAATGGAAAAATACAGCCCCTTGGAAATTACAAAAAACAATAAAAGTGTTTCGAGTTATGAATTCAACTGGTTCACCATATAATGAGTAAATATAAAAACGGGTGTGCACGACACCATAAATTCACAGATTCAGAAGTTATCCGATCAATATGAGGTACCACTTATGCGGTAAAGCATGCCTAGGAAGTTTGCATAAAAGTCAGTAAACTGAAGAAACATTGTCATTCATAGCTTTTACTGAAAACTAAGCTGTAGTAGTATTGTCCAGAATGACAATGATGGGAGTTTTGTAATTGAAACTATTCAGCTTAGAAAGTAGAAGATACGATCAGATGGATTATAGTAATAGGCAATAAAACATGTATGCCATATTCATAATGTAACATATTACTGTTTTTTTAGGTGAGAAGAAATATAGTAAATGTTTAAAAATGACCAATAGTGGTGTGGTGACAGAAATACAGACGTTTTAACAACTATGTTACGAAGTTTTATTTTGGGGAACTGAGTAGTGAGTAATTAGTATAATACCACTAGTAATCACACACGAAACGGAAATTTTTACTGCTATAGAAATAAACAAGGAGAGAGCCAGGGTGTCAAAACAAAACAGGGCATCAGGCCACAAAGACACTGAATATTAGATTGAACCATGTAGATGGGTAAGGCTACCTGGTCGAGGTCCGAGTGATTACCTTAGCCAATGGTTAAAGACTTGAGATGACATGACTCGAAATCATTCACAACGACGCAGATGCATTCACTCATTTTCCCTTAGCTACTAAGTATTTACTTTAGCTTATAAAATTTTATTTTATTCCACTGACTCCTATTTTCTTCTCAAATCGTATCTTGGAAGCCAAGGCTTTTGTATTGCGACAATATAGTTATTACTTCTGCTACTCTGGGATTTGGTCTGACAACTTCATATCACTGTGCCAATGAGCTGTGGCAACTTGAACCGATGTACACACGTTCCAGGTTCTAGGTTGCGTATGACCAACTGACTGACTGGTCAGACAGTTATCCAGTAACCTATGGTTTTCAATGAATGTCTAACTAAAACCACAACGATATTACAAATAACCTAAAATGAATCCAATGAATTTACATGAAGATCACATCACCTACCATTAAAGCACCATGTACACCATTTCCGCATAATTCACTAGCATATTCAGGTAATTCGATACTTTGTAACCAATTCATTACTCGTTGTTGAGTCCAATAACAAATTTGTATTGGTAAATATGTTGAACAAATAAAATTAATATCAGAATTCATGGAATCTGGTTGTAAAGTAGAAATAGTATTCAAGCAAGACGTATGCACATGATTTCCATTATGTCCATTATTAGGTTTTATATTATCTTGAATATGATTTAACGATTGGATGGGAGAATGTAACATGTTTCTTTTACAAGGTAAATTTGCTTCACCTGTATTAATTAAACCAAGTAAGAAATAACAATCTTAAGAATAATTCAACATAAACTAACAAACTATAAATATTTTCAGTTTAATTTTAAAGAATATGTACAAAATGTTGAGTTCCATGAAGTCAACAGCCTATACATATTTATTACTTATTTTCTTATAGTATCAATCAATCGACCAATCAACCAGTCACAATAATCTCCACAACCCAATACTGATAATAACACTGGAAATACTATGAATATGTATTGGTTTAAGTTGTCATATATTATAGCAGTACAGTCAGAGAGAAAATTCACGAAATGAAAGTCGATGAGAAATTGAAATCGAACTGGGGATGATAGCAATATACATTGAAGTAGAAAGTTAGACAAGACAAGCACTGTTCACAATGAAATATGTCAGAAAAGAGGATGAAGCTATTAAAATGGTAATAAACATCATCATAACAGATTTTCGGCATTGTTAGCTTTGAAATTCACACAAATATTCTGGTTTAATATATAGGTATCGCTATAATGTGTTAGACATGGCAGCAGGTCAACAGGGAAACGGAAGTGCCAAACAGAACCATTGTATATTACCTTCCAATACGAGACGAGTATGCATCCAGAAACTGTACTAAGGATTTAAGAAGAGGACAGCACAGTTTTACCTTTGAAACAATAATTGTGAGATGGAGAATATTTATAGTTGAGGGTGAGAATTCGGGAAGTATTGGTTTCTTTGATTTGGGTACTTCAGTATTGTCTTTCTAGACAATATGATTACGTTCAATAATTACGTTAGTAATATTATTTACTAAATAATTAGTTGAGAATATCGGGTAATGAAAAAAAACTGAACAGGGTGAGAGAGAAACTCTCATCCGTTGAACAAATTTTTCGAAAGACAATTATGGTCTCTAGACTAATAAAATCTGTTGGTTGACGAATAGTACTGAATATCGGCAAAATATGTACTGATAAAACAATTTTGTTAAAAAGTACGATTATATTATCAATACTTCACTTACATTGTTCCATCTGACTTCGGCATAAACGATTTCTATCAAAATTAATATGTCTTAACATTTGTAATCCCCATCGTAAACTTAACATATGTAATTCACTAGACATTTTCAACACAGATAAATCATCCTGAAATCATAGGGAGAAAAGTGTTACCAAACTGCCATTTACGTAATTTTTATCAAGGAATAAGACTAGTTAGGGTACAAAGTTGAGAACCAGGATTTCTTACCAGTGTGTAGTCGTGAGCTCCAAAGGGATAGGACCCAGAGCCTTTGGGTTTCACGGAAAGGAACTGACATTTAAACCACTGAGATGGATCCAGAAGAAAATCCATCAAATAAAATCACTGTATGTTTGTGTATACCGAGGTATGGTGGTAGACTCGGTGATTATAGACATATCTGATGCCTGTGTTCACAATTCATCTCAAGATCAGACGATAGGTGAGAAGTTACGCTCTGGGTATAATATTGGAGGTAGTTGACTAAGCACCTCGTCAAGCCCTCAGCTTACATTTCCTTGTTTGGATCAGAAGGCAATCGTATATATCTACCTATGATTTATGTGCAACAGAACTTAAATCGTCAGTTATAGAAGCCTAGCCTTTTTCTCAATCTATACATTTATATTACTGAATGGTTAAGCGTAAAGGAAGTGTATGTATCTGAAACCAACGTCATGGATTGTAAGTCGTCCACATACATACATATATAAAGTCACAGTCAAAGGCAAAAATACTAATATACATTTAATGTTAGACATACCATAGTAAGTTGATCTAGCACATAAGGGTCAATGATGCAATTATCGAATTGTGGAATATAAGACGATAAACCCACATCATGTAACCAACCTATACAGTGAAAAAAATAACGAAATGAATTATTTTTATTGACTGGAATTAATAGAATTTATGGTTGGACTATTATTTATTTAAAAATAAGAGGTTTTAAAATGTCACGCGAAATTCACTCATATATATGGCTACAGAACATTTTTGAATCACAGAGGAAGTCAGTTCCTGATGAAAATCCCAACCCTGATTCTTAATTCCAACCACTAATTCTAATTCTTAGCCTTGTTTTAAATTTTTTAGGTGGTTGAGATTTCTTAAGGTCACTTTGAGAATCTCTTAAGATCATCCATAAAATATAGTCTCTCCAAATTCACATCATTATTGATTAATATTTTTGATTACACTTTACTCATGACATTCTGTGACTCTGACAGTGATCTTCCCAAAGTAACACTAACTTTTAGACAATCGAAATACAGGTGATATAAATAAGTAATCCCTTATATACAAGGGACCTCAACAATTCCCACGACGCGAAAGTAAGAACACAGAGACTGGTATAAGTGATGGTTTATTAACCCCAAAACACGACGACGATGACCCTAGTAGAAAACACACTCAATTTATATATTGATTCATACACCCATTTTGATTAATAATTTGAATGAAATCACATATATATGAAAAATACTCAGAGTTATAACAAATCACAGACTGAGGATAGTTCATGTCAATGGAATACAAGAATATCGTATATTCTACAGAATGGAAATATCATACGAGAAACGAAAGCAAATACTAGATTGAGTAATCATTACATTGAATCAAAACGGAAGTAATCTTGAACAAAACTCATAATGAGTAAATCAATCGAAAATTGACTTTTCTTTCCATCATATCATGATGGACTCCTAGTCGTTTGGACTAAAAATTCTACAGTCAGCTCTACAATTGAAGACATCAAGAACATTAAGTTACATTCAAATTCCCACAAATCAGGACACTTATGATTCAGTCTTTACATGTTTATCAGTTTTAAGCGTTTTAGTAATGAAATATTACTAAGTCTTATTTAGCTTTTAATAAAATATTAGCTATACACAATTAGATTTTGAATTTTTCGCAAAATTCCAATGGTCGCTATTTTGAATCTGATTGGTTCATCAGAGAAAATACTTTAACTAATGTATATTTAAACTAAAATCGGAATTTTCACATCATTAAGACAAAGGTAATAATTGATTTTAACTAAACAAAAAACACTAAGTTTTTTTATTTTAAACAGTTGTGTGCGAACTAATTAGTGTGGGATAATGTACAGGGAAAGTAAAAATCGAAAGGTACTGATCCAGTAGGACTGACATATTGACCATTTGGTAGTTAATGGTTATTGTTCATTCAGTCAAATTGTAACAGCGTTTGGAAAATTATTCGAATGTTAAACGCTGCTCAATATATAAGATTGTTATTTAGTGTTGAGAGTTTCGTTAACTTATCAGGAAGTGGATTTCAATGCTATATATGTAAAATAATCTCATGTACCGACATTGACCTGAATATAAGGACGACCACATGTGATTTTTCAAATTCTTCAACCTACTAAATATATACTAAACCATTTGAAAAGAAGATTTAAAAAATTACCACTAGTTATGTCAGTTGGGTAGATGTGATCTGGGGGGAAATCCGAATTTAACTTTTGGATGGTTAAAACACATCCGAAAATAGTGGGTCCAGTTCTGAGGTAACGGATGTTACTAATAGGTTACCAGTTTCACGAATTGAAGCGCTACCACTGAGTTATTCAGGTCAGGATAGACTAACATAAAGTTAGTTACTACTCAGTGATCAATCACTGCAAATACTTCTGATTTATAGGAGGTCAATTGCATCTCACATAGTTCAGTGGTAGTATCTCAGTCTATAAAGCTGGCTCGCACTATCCACATCCCACGAAGAACATTAGTTCCTTTGAAACTATAGGTATATCTTGCTGACGGGTACTAATTAGTATGAAAACTAAGTCAATGAGGGTTTCTCTATCAAATAATTTCAATTATTGAAACCATTATCTGGAACTGTGTTAGTTAACAAACGTAAAATAATTTCTTCACTACCACTAAAACAGATTTAACAGATGATAAAAAATAATGTACTCTGAATAATAAAATGACGAAATGTTAAAATTGCACTGACAAAAAGGATGAAAATACTATTCACAAACTATATATATCATAAATAAGTTCCATACAAAACTAACAATGATAATTACCCGGTATGTCGAAATTTTCCGGTGGTTCTATATTTCTATATAAACACCCATAATTGTAATTATTATTAATATTATTACTATTATTAGGATACTGGTCTTTCATACATAAACGTATATGGATTAACAATTTCTTCAAGTGTAACGGGTTACGTATACACATTAACTGAAAATCAATTGATAGGAAACAATTATTGAAGAAAGAAACGAAAAGGAAACGATAACGGTAAGAATATTATGGATGCGCTAACTCTTGGGAATATTTTACGGAAGGTTATTTGTTTATATCTTTACCATATAATTACTAGATAATTGGACAATTGGACTACTCTTACATCAATCTAATTGTAAGATTTTTTCGACGCATAAACTGTTGTCCTACGTTTTATCTAATCAGTCCTCACTAGTAAGATGTATCTCAACTACCTTAAGGCATCAACTTGGGTGGCTTCTCATGCCTTTATCGTCTGAGTGGCTTCCGAATCGGACATTATTTGTCTACTATTGGACTGGGTATAAAAAGTGTAGTGGTGGCAAGTTTATAACATGGTACCATTGTATCAAAGTAGTAAGACAAAATATGTTATTACATTCCGAATCCTTGCAACTTAGTAACTTCAGTAGTTATGAGATATGACCGAAAATGAAATCTAGTTGCGATTTTACTTTAATCTTCTTCATCCAGGTAAAACGAATTCCGTGGCTGAAATAAAACTTTGTTGTTTGGGTTTTTAACTGAGTTTTATTGATGATCATATTATATTACTGTTTATTCACATCCATTGATTATAATATATTTTCATCTATTTATTCTTTCAAAATACCATTAGTTTATTTCTGCGGTGTATGCTTTTTTTAAATGTCATATTGTACCATAATTTATGTGTATTAGTTAAGTAAATAATGAATTTTTTAACGATCAGGACAATTATAACTCCTTGGATACTAATCAAAGTTACAATCAATAATAAAAAGTAATGTTCTGTTACGACATACTTATTACTCAATAACTTTGATTTTTACAAGCGAAGAAAACAACAAAAAACACAATGAAAATTGCGAAATAAAATGAATTTATTTAGTATTGGTGTACTCCAACTTTGTTGTATACGCTCTGATTAACATTTATTCATCAGTTAATCAATTGAATGATGGTATTCCATTCAGAAAATAATAGTCTACTAGTTTATGGTATCTACATGATTATACTTTTACGAACATCTGTTAGCGATTAAGTAAATAAATAGATAAATAAATAGGAAAACGTCGATTATCGAATTAGGATAAATAAACATGAAAAAAAAAGAATATTGTAAGTTATTTATTAAATTAAACACAATCTCTTTTAAAATATGGTACCTTGATAAGTTATAGAAATAAGATAGCTAGGCGATGGGGGTTTGATTTGTATAGGGAACACTAGTCTCTTAAGACTCAAAGAGACGTCTACGTATTGGACAGTAATTGGCATGAAGTTATCTTGTCACTTACATCTAATCAACTAAGTTACTGAAACTGGTGACCACATTGTAACCTGATGAATAGAATCCGGTCAGTGATAAAATATTAGACAAACAAGACAATAGCTACTAATCACTGATCAATCGATAGCGAGACTAACAGAAGCAAATATAAGCTGTAGTAGTTACAGTAGTATTGGTATTAGTAATAACCAGTATTATTTTCTGTCTAGTTTATAGTACTGATCAAATTTAAACAACCGAATTTGTAATGCTACTACTCGACTACATAGATTAATATTGTGGTATACTATATTTTGCTGCTATGTAGTTAAGCAACTTAATGTAAAACTTTATAGGTCAGGTAATAATGTATGTAGATCAGTCGTGAGAATGATAAATCGTGTTCGGTATAGCTTATTTGTTAAATTCTTAAACCATGATACATGAGATACAATAAGTTTTAATCGCTCACTGAACTTTACCTTTCTTATGAATGTATACAAATGTTGCTGTTTAAATGTTAATTAGCACGCTGAAAAGGTTAGGAAACAGTGGAAAAGGTATAAACACATGTTTGTTTATTCTTATTACTACCCGACCTAAGTTAAGAACTCATAGAAAACTTGGAAGTATTTGACAGATTTTTCATCGATTGTACATTGTCCATCCACGTCCTCACCAGGAATAAAACCCAGGAACTTCAGTCTTGCCAACAAGTGCCTACCTTCTAGATCACTAAAATTAGATCAATCCATAATATATGACAGCCATTTTTCCTTATCTTCGATGACCAACCTTCCATACCTGAAGGTATGCGATTAAATCCCTGATGAGGTTATAGCTTTTAACTGATAAGGAGTCCCATACTTCAATGAAACAATTAGTCACTTGTTCACTTTTGAGTTACACCTCCGAGTAATATCAATCTATAGCGAATACCAGCTATAATCTCGTTATTTAAAATGTATACACAACTCTACGGTGGTTCAATTAAATATTTTGAAGACCGTTTCTTCTTTGAAATAATTACCTTTTATACTGTTTAAATCTTTGAATAGAAGATATCAATAAAGTACAATTTTTTTATCCAATTAAATTTTATTATAAGGGTTGAATTGACTCACCTAATGTAACATAGAATGCATACATCCTGATTGGTACAAGTTGAAGATCTAAGTGTTTCATTGGTCTATACATTTTTAAATGACTTTAAGCTTAAACTTTCAAAATATTCAAGTAATCAATTGCTGGTTTATAAATTTACGAATGAATGCTGTTAATCAGTATTTATACTAAGATTTATTAATTTTTATAAGGTTTATTCAATTACAATTAACTTGAATAAAACGTAAAGATACTTTTTTATTTTCTCTATGAAAAAAGACATTGTCTTATAAAGTTATTTATGAATTATGTACCGTGTAAACTGAATAATTCCTTACTTGTGCAAGTGATTTTTTGGATTCATTTATTAAATCTTGACCAGAAGTTAACCATCTTCGTGTATGTGATACTGTATAACCTAGACCAATTTTATATAACCATGCTGAAATCATATTTTTATCCCAAGTGATAAAATTTCTAAAATAAAAAAAGAAGGGGAAATTATAAATTAGATTAATTGATTTATTGGTATATTATTGAGTCAAAATAAGTCAATACATTATTTAAATTTGTCCCCAAATGCCCTGGCACGGCAGAGGGTGTGGAGAATCAGCTACCCCTCTCCAAGTGCTCTCAAGTGACCACGTGCAAACAACCACTGCCACACAAGTCCTACTCACTGCCCTATTGCGGCATTACTGTTCTTTACGAAATTCAGAGGACGAAAAGCGAATGTTCAGCACTTTAGCCGGATTGGTGGATATGGAGGATCAATCTAGGGGAGTTGGAAAACCCTCATCCCTAACCAATGGTGTACGTGGGCTCCAGGATCCTAAAGGAATAAATGGCGTATGAACCAATCGTTGGTCACTGGCTACCATGGGACTGTCTCTCCTTACATTTCTCCACTGACTTATGGACTAGACTTTTAGGTCAAAGGCTTCGGGTGTGTCCCCCTAAGAAAACCAACTGCTTCGGTTTGGCCACCCGGGAAGTATACCAGGCCTCACACAAATCGAATGATTTATGTGGCGCATATCTATTCAGTGCCTCCCTGTACCAATGTTTGTGTTTAAATAAAATAAAAATTATTTAATTTACTGTATAATAATGAATACACATTGTGATTGAGTTAACTTAAAATCATTGACAAAGAATGGCATGATTATTACGTTGGTTAAACACGAATATTTATTTTGGCATCATTTAACTAAAATTTTACATAGACATACTGGTATTATTCAGTTTTAATGTCTTTGACCAAGATTTCATGTTAATTAGATACTAGTAAGAAAAATAAGTTTGAAAATAAATCCAACTCATTATTTAATTTATATTTAACCGAAATGCATCTATTTTAAAACGTATGACAAAATGATTACATTAAGGAAATCTTCACTGGGTGAAAATATCTTGAAAAAGAGTAATTGAAAATTCAATCTTAGATAGTAACAACAGAAAAATTCAAACCCTTTCTATTAATAATATAAACATAAATGTAGAGCAAGGTTGAGATCATCCATACCATTTAATACAATGGATAACATGTTCATTTTTGAAGTGAAATGTATCAAGTTTGAGTCTCATTGTGAACATCAACTCTGGAATGTAGACATATCCACATGACGTACCTCTAACAAGATGAAATGCTCGTTCTAGATCTCAGTGCTATTCACAATTCATCTATTCTAGAGAAGTTTTATCATTATTCTTCACTTAAATATCAAGTTTCCTTACCGATATTTGTGAAAACATTTTGTTTTTAGAAAAAACTACCATAAATTAAAACAAGGGAAATTTCGATAAAAGAATCAATGTAAAACAAATGAGATGATTATTTTTTTATTCTAAGGAGATAATAAAATGTTATTTTATAACCAGAAAAAATATGCAAATTAGAATCCTCAATTTTGTCAGTTCTGTATAGCTGTTTGTAAACTATTTTTACACACGACTTATCTGTTTTAGGCTTTTAGTTTGTTTGATAGCCACTAGTGATAACAAAGCGACTATTCAAAATGAATGAGGGGTGATACAAACTTCAAAAATTGACTTATTGGTTATAAAACTGGACGCTTTTTAATAATTAATAGCTTTTATCAAATACTCAGTGTTACGAGTTCTCTTATTACGACCCAGCTATTCATAATGCTTCGCATTCTCGACAAGTCCCCAAATCAGAACACGGTTGAACAAGAACGTAATTGTATTCCAAATGACAAGGATAGATGGAAGTAGGAATCACAGTAAGAAGATTCTAGAGTCTTCTCCAAATATCCACTAGTGTTGATTAGCTAGAAAATAGACAGAGTGCCCCAATGCAATCCTGCAAGAAACATGTTTGAATCCAATCTGTAACCTGCTAACACCTCTTTGAACAGATTCGTAGGATCTGGTGTTAGAGTCTACTTGCAACTGTGTGACTGACCAGTTTTTAATTTGTCCACCTTCTAGGCAATAAAGGAGTGGTATTACTCTTTGCTTGCACAGAGAATGTCCCGTTTACTCAAGAGGTGTTGTTTTCAAACTTGTCCAGCAGAACATCAAGCAGTATCCTAAGTCGGATCTCGTTGCTGGCCATCAAAGTTGCTTTCAGTTGGTTAGCATGACCCACTAAAACATCTGAGTCAACTGACACCTCGTAAATCACACTTCCTTTCTTTTGCACGATTCGACCAGCTATCCATGTGGGATGTTTTCCACGATAGTCCATAGCAAATACTTTCTGACCCACAGTGAACAATTGTCTTCATGCCCTGTGATGTCTACTGAATTGCTTCTTCATCGATATTTTTCACTGAAAACCAAGAGCTGGCGTTTAACGGATGGCATCGAAATATGTTTTTGCGCCTTATAAAATATCAAACTAAACAATTTTCATAAACTTCTTGCACTAATAATGAATTAGAAAAAATACTTTATTACATTACAAGCCACAGTTTGGCCAGATCATTTCGCGAGAATATTACTATACTAAATAGGAAACTGTGTTTTACATTGGGAGACGGAGAGAGATAACAGTCAGTCAGTCACAGTGTAGAACCTGGTACGAACCAAATTGCCACATCCTATTAGCACTGAGAGATGAAATTGTTAAGCCGAATCCCAGAATTGTAGAGGTAGTAACAGTATTAGTAGTAATTGGAAAGATTGGGTATCAAAGATACGATTCAAGAAGAAAACATAAATTAGTGCAACAAAGACGAAAAATGTTATGAGGAATTGAGAATCTCAGAATTTGGGGGAAGACAAAGAATGGATGCACATGGGCCGTTGCAAACGATTATGAACAATGTCATTCAAAGTTCCTAACCACTGGTTATGATAATCACTCGGACCCAAACCAGACAGTCTACATCTAGTAGTATTGCTAAGTTCAATTGTCAGTGAATTTATGGACTGACACCATGTTTTGGTTTGGCCGCTCTTAGCTTTCCTCTAGCCTGTTGCTGCACCAGAAACATTGCCCCTCGGTATAGGCGGCCTTTGAACATACGTAACACACGTCTCAACCACCTCATTTGAAGAAGATTTACTACCTCATCGATCAATTTTCCATCTTTATCTAGTATTGTATTCCTAACCCAGACATTGCTTACTCCGCGGTCCCAAAATACACGAGCATAGCTTGGTAGATACCTGTGATCGATTAACAGTAAACTAAGAATATCCTCTACTCTTGATGATCATGTTTCACATCCATAAAGTGGAATGGAGCAAATTGTTGCTCAGTAAACTCGTCCCTTGGTTGGAAGACAGATATCTCTCCTACACCGTAAGTGACACAAGTTGGCTAAAGCCAGTCGAGACTTTCAAATCTGTGCCGAGATTTTGTCAGATATCAAAGCATTAGTACTGGTGAGACTCCTGCGATAAAGAAAACGGCCGATGCATTCGCTTACTTTACTCCCCACCATTAATTTAAGTGATAACGCAAGCCAATCATGAACTAACATGGTTGCTTAAGGTGGTCAAAAGACTCTGCATTTTGTCAGCATCCTCACCAAGAAGAATTATATCATCAGGATATCCTAAGTCAGTATCTGAATCTCCTGGTAGATTAACTCCTGAAAAGTTAGACGATGAAAGTGTTATCTTTAAAAGCATGTCTATGACAAAGTTAAATAGAAATGAAGAGAGCTAACAACCCTGGTGAGCACCCCTTGAAGTAACCGATTCCAACGACACTTCGCCATAAGCTCTGACACGACCAAAAGTGTTTAAGTAGATAGTCTTTACGTACTTTACTTGGCAGGGTTTTCGATGAAAGACACATCCAAAGGACCTTATGATCAATGGAGTCGAGCTCTGCCTTAAGGTCAAGGAATGCAACTATTGTCGGACGTCGAACATTATGTCTATGTTCCAGAACCTATCGAGGGGTGAATATTTGGTCTACATATCTACATCCAGGCCTGAAACCAGCTCTGTTTTCTCGATTTTTCTCCTCATAAGCTCTAGTTAGACATCGAAATACCACATTAGTTTAACTGAATCCTCTGTGATTATTACGAAGAAGAATATAATCATGCCAATGCCAGACATATCATAACTGGAGAGATTTCAAAAGAAAGCTACTGAATAAAATGTTGTCTAATTTAGTAAAGTATGATCTATAAATCTAAAACCAAAGGTAAGAAGAGTTCTAATACGCTACTGAAAATTAATCTGCATTGACTAAGTTGGGTACTCTGGTAGCCTATAAATCACTAATAGTATTCCCCTGTTTAATATGGACTAATTCTTGAGCTTATTGTTGCTCGATAAAAACGTAATCTTACTGAATAAAACACCAACCTGTTAAGTTCATACACACAGCAGATGAGTAACATACCTACATGCTATTCAACAGTAAACACTGAAATCATTAGCACAAAACAATGCTTAGCGCTTCTAACAGTAAAAAGAACACAGGAAATTAAATGATATTATAAATCTTATGTATTACAGCATGCTTAATTACTTCAACTTAAAAACCAGAGCAAAAATGCAAAAAACATTTGTATTCGAATCATTCATATATATATATATATATATATATATATATATATATATATATATATATATATATATATATATATATATATATTTTCAGCATAATGATAATTGTACGGAAAAAAAGTAAAACATACGCACCGCTTAGTATAGGCGAATTGAAATAATTGACGTTGTTCGCTGGATGAATTAAGACCATTATGAGATAAAGGGGATTTGTTACTGTTAAACAAAAAATAATATTGTATGAACATGCAATATTTATACATTTCATTTAGATGGATATACATGCAGTTGAACATGAGAGTACTAAATACATTCATTAATGAAAAAAGAACAGTACGAATAACCGGGCGCACCAAAATCAAAATACATATGTATGTGCCTACTTATTTTAATACCAACAGATACATAGTGTAAGGTATATTATATTCTTTATTAGCTTGAAATATCTTTTTACTTCCGATATGGCTGAACTTCATCAGTCATATTTTCTCATTAGAACTCCAAAAATTATTCTAAAAGGTAGACACTCGTGATCACATTTCATTTACTAACTTTAAATTCTTGGAATGTCTATTTGGTAGATAAAAAGTAGACAGACATCGAACGATAAAAAAAAACACAGCGAAAGAGCGAATGTTTGATTGTTGCCCGTTGAGTACCTTACAAAATAAAAAAACGAAAGCTGAAGACTGATAAGTGACTTACATATTATAAATAATGGATAGCAATGGAATTTAGAATATTTGTTTTATCTCATTTTTAGACTCAACAATTGGCCACATCCAAGTTTGGATGCTCACACTGTGACAAGAGACCCAATACGTATAGCTTCAACGACCAGTGCACTATTCACTACGTTACATAGACTGGTCAGATTTACTCATGAATATTAGTAATAGGAAAATATAATGCAATATAAATACTGATGATGTTTATTTTGTAACAAAATTGCTTCGATGTGAACAGGGATTTCTTATCATTCAGTTTAACAATAGAAGTGAAATTGTCTTCCTGACAGTCCTATGTCCACCATATTTTGATTATGGAGTAATCATTACAACTTTTCTCCATATTTAAAAATGGCTAATTTTCGTAATCACCTATCTTTGACAGATAGAATTCAAATTAAAGTCATCAATGAGAGGAAAGATCACAATGTTTTTCGGAACTTGAGAATACCATCTATTTTAAGTGATGGAGTAAAGATATAATGATACATATAGAATTTTCAATGATTAGGCTATGCATCTTAGTAAACTGAGAATGTTGAGGCATATGCTAAGTATGCACGACGACAGCCTATCTTGAAGAACAAGTTTGAGTGGGGTAGAAGATTGGAAGAATATTAGAAGGCAAAACCAAGGTGAAATACCAACCAGTGAAGTTATCAACTATTGGACTGAGCGATTTTGGTAGGTTCAGACTACCTGGATAGGGTCTTCATGATTTTCGTAAACAATAGTTGGAGCTTTAGGGTAATATTTTTTGGAATTCGTCAAAGTGTCGCAGATATATCCTGAGTTCCAGCATTCTTTCGTACATATATTATCATATCTTCTTCTAGAACCATACTGTCTATATAGAGTCTATCTGATTATCAGTGACACTATGGCTATTTGATTCATTTGATATTCATGTTATTAATTTCAGTTTTTTTCTGGTTTGGTACTGAAACCTAGGCTAACATACATCTACATCATTTTTAACATTTATCACGGCTAGCTGATAGGTTGCTTAAAAAACAGGAAATATTCACAAATATCACATTGAATGCGTTTGAAATACCAATAATCTTCATCATTATTTAAATAAAAGTCCTCAGCCTTGTATCTCAAATAACAAATGTTTTAACTAGTTATAGAATTTCGTTTTATAATTACTATGTAGCACAATACGATGAAGAGAATACTTATGCTTTTTACAGAGAGTACTAAATTGTCATACTGTTTTCTGGATTCAAAGCAAAAGTCACTGGTTTTTATTTCACGTTGTTTGATAACCTTCGTCTAACATTGAATTAAAAAGCCTTATGCAATTAATCGCTTTATTATTAAGATGAATAATGGTGATTTCATTACCAGGGTTCATAGCTATTCATTTATCACTTTGAATATTCTACTCTGAGGTCACAATTAATGAATGCTGACAATAATTTAAGGCAAACGATGGTTTACTATGGTGTCATATTTTACATTACTGATTAACCTAAGTTAGAAAACTGTAGAAACCGAGGAAGAACTACACAGATGATTCGTTTGAGTGTGTAACTCCACAGCAATCCTAATCACTGTCACCATCAGGTGTCACGACAAGCACTTGACCTTTAGAACACCGAATCAGCATCCAATGGTTTACATTTCTAACTTCAGCCAATTCGGGATATTGTCCAACCATCTAATTCCGTTGGTAGGTTCGTACGGTAAACTACAAAATTCAATAATCTTCACAAACGTTTAAACTAGTGATTCTTTAAGCGACACATTATTCTGTACGATCATGAATGTTAGTGGTGCATATATTAAAAACACAGATATTCACATATTTACACTTCCTCACGTACTCACACGTTGTCCAGATATGAAGACGTAGACTCATTCGATTCATGACGTACAGAAGATGAAATGGATTGAATGTTTTTATAACTATCAAATGAATGAGGTCCATTTTTCACATGATTATTACACGATTTATTATTACTTAGTACAGACATATTTTTATTCAATGGACCATTTTCATTGGATTCAAGGGCACTTCCCTGATAGCTCTGTTGTGATTTAATATTGCAAATTGAATTGGTATGTAGAACTGAAGGTGGTGAAGAATTGTAGACAGAATTAGCAGAAACATCATCAACATGACTATTATTACTGTTGCTCATAGAAGGAAGAGTAGTTTCTTGTGTTTTTCTACGTGATCTGTTCAGTGAACCACCACCATAATAACGTTCCATACTTTTAGACCTTATATATAATGCAGAATTGATTAAACTGTTTTTTGGTTTACATTGATGATGATGCATGGAATTCGATTTATTCAAACCATTTGATATGAAGTTATTCATTTGACCTTGTGAAAGCCAATGGAAGCTAAATGAATTGTTGGAGACATATATTTATATAATATGCACTTATAATATCTTTATGAATAAATAGAATATTCGTTTAACACACACACAAATACAAAATGAAGCAATTATATTTATACACCAATTGATATATCTCCTATTCGTTTATCGGTAATGAAATTTTATTATTAGAGTTACTAGACCAAACTGAATGTACATTATGATGCACTTCATTTAATGTGTGCTGATTTAAAAGTGATCAAAAGGAACTCCAATTTAGGGATTCATCATTGACAAGATGAACTTGCAGACAAAGTCACTACATTATCAAATCATTTAGATTAGTGATTATATATTCCAGTTTAGCAATTGTACTCTATCAGAACAATTAATGAAACAAATATAATATTTTGGTTGTTGAACTTATGAGTCAGTTGAAGCTAGACCACCATGGGAAACCTGGGAGCACTGAACGGCCATTTCGTCATAGTATGGGAATCCTCAGCAATGCGCATCCACGATCCCGCTCCGCGAAAATCAAACCCAGGACCTATCAGTCTCGCGCGCGAGCGCTTAACCACTAGACCACTGAGCAGTATCTAACGGGTCAGTTGTGAGATAGCAAATCGCTGATGATAATGGTGGACGGTGGCACAACTTCGTGGATTGATTGAAGTTAGACATTAACACCGCCGAATGCCGCCTCAGTGGTCTAGCGGTTAAGCGTTCGCGCGGGAGACTGATAGGTCCCGGGTTCGAATTTCGCGGGGCAGGGTCGTGGATGCGCACTGCTGAGGAGTCCCAATATAGGACGAAGTGGCCGTTCAGTGCTTCCAGGTTTTTCATGGTGGTCTAGCTTCAATCGACTTATGAATTGAACAATTACATTAATATAATGTCCACAAAACCTCTCTCTGATTAAAATATAATATTGTTTATTACTTAGCCATTAATTAATTAATTAATTAGTAAATATCTTAATCCATTAAGAGGTAGGTTGTAACCACGATAGTTTATTGATAATATATCTTATTGTGATGCTAGATGTCATTAGCCCAAGTTCATTATCACTTCTTATCGATTTGAGTCCAACGTTTTTAGTCAAATATGGACGTGATAATACACAAATGGCAAAAATAAGATTAATGTAGGTAGACTCAATAAATATAAAATATTATTCAAATGCTATAAGATAATTTAAATTCAAACATAAATGTAAATATGCATGCACAATTAAAGTGAAAATATTTTATCTAATGAATGATGCTTTGCAGGCTAAACAGAAGTGTATACATTGAAATTGGCATGCTATAATCATAAAAATCCAGTGCAGCAATTATCATAAATCACATGATTATATATATGATAAAAATATAAAATTAGTTACCCATGTCATTTTAACTTTTTTGTTGTTGTTAAGAACATGAACCTATACAAGCTAGAAAACTGCTGGAGACTTGAGAGCATTGGACGGCTGTTTCATCTTAGTGTGGAACTCCTTACCAGTACCCACTCACGACGCCAACATCAAGAATGGAAGTTTAAGCTTTCGATCTCGTGTTCAAACGCTTAATCAACAGACGATTAAGCTAGGATTAAATGGTGCACAAACCTAACTTCAGTTAACCAGCGATACTGGATCCTGGCTCAGTGGTTTGAAGGTCAAACGTCCTTACTTGAGACAGAATATCCTTAACTCGATTCCCAGATGTGGGAATATTTTGTATTTACATCAAAAATGGTAAGCTGCGCTACACTAATACGTTCATGGTAGACAGATACGAATAACGTCAGAAACTTAAAATAAAAACTTAATGAAATTTAGACTAATGTTCAGCATTCATTCACTTAATGGACGGAAAATGGTGGGGATTGATAAAATATAGCCTACGCAGCCAAAGGATTTTGATAAACACTAGGGTCTAGAAAAGAATAAATTTGATTACTGGTAGTATTTGACCTATTATTGTTATACCATAAGTTGTCACTTAAAGTTAACTTGATACCCGGTTCATTAACAAACAAAAGAAAATCCACTTAATTACTACTCAAATAATTTGAAATTTTGCTCGAAATCTATCGATACATTTGTAATATTTGTTTTTGAATTTAGCTCAACAACCACAGAATAAAAAGGCACAGGGCGGCTTATTTGCCTTTGTACGAAGATCTGCTAGTGTACACACCAAAGACCAAAGCGGAATTCGAACCTGGAAGTGGTTTTTAAAGGTTGTTTAGTTCAAGTTAGTCCATTAATGAAAAACCGGTTAGTTACATAATTCCCATAAACCTTTTATACCAATAATAAATAATTCCATATAATTTACATCATGGTTTCAGGTGAAATGACCAGAAAGAAAAGTCACTTTTAAGTATCAGTTGATAGAACACTGAGGAATTTTCACCATGCATAGTGATTATTATTCGGAAATGAATTGATTTGTTAGTAACTGCAAACAATCTCGACTAAACAAGATAATAAATATATGTACTATTGAGTATACGGTTGGATTAACCTATAAAATGTTTGTATTTCAGCTCAATGAGAAGAGAACAATTGCTCCTATAAGGATTGCATTATTTTTGGCCAATGTAACTGAAAACTCATTTATGCTAATGTCTAGATGAGATTCGAAATTAATCTACAGTTCTTGTAAAGTAAAAAAGCTGCATATTAATTATGCAATCATAGAGTGTTTAGAAAAGAAACAACAAATCTTTGGGTTAGATTTCACATAAATAAGCGATGATTTGTATCAACTATTGGATAACTTTGTCCAGGTTTGTATATTGACAATTTTTTGAGAAAAAAGACAAAAATAGGTTCATACCAAAGACTAGAAAAATCAGTAAAAATTTCATTTCAGTGATTGATAAGGCAAACACCATCATATTTAAAGAACAGAGTTTGTAAAATTAGTTTCTTTGATAAGTTTTCATAGAGTAAGAACAAAAAACACTGAACAATGAAGTGAAATCATTTTGTTCGCTCTAATTCTTCCCTATTCAACCAAGCTCAATTTATGAGTGAATGAAATAAACAAGAGAGACAATGACAGATTATAAAATAGTCAAGTACAATGGAGATGGGTAGATTAGGATGATTACAGTGGATTATTTGGTAACATCGATAACAATTATTAGGAACCTTTAGTATTCATAGCTGCTGATAATACACATAGTTAAAGATGGTATGAGAAAGAAACGTAATTTGTAGTGAATGAGAACACAAGTGGGGACAATCGAATGTATTTGAACACAAAATTACAGAATCTGTTAGTAAAATCTGAGAACGATACAGTAACTTCTTCATTTGCGAAATGTCAAGCAACTGTCTCAGACTTCATTTTTCCTTCGTTTCCACGCCGATTACTTTCTATTCTCTTTCTCTTTCCTTCGATCTTCATAACTTTCTGCCACCAGGCATTTCACTTTCGACTGGTGATACATACTACTTATATTTGTCGACATCAGTAGCATACACCACAATTACTTGAGGAGATTAAGTTAATATGGTGTCAAACATTTTATTAAAATAATGTTAAGAACAATAAGACGAACTATAGCAACCATAAGCATAAAATTAGAAACTAACTGTGATTAAATAAAGTTACTACATAGAATGAATAATGACTATAGACATGCAACACACAAATTTGCATTTATGAAAGATCCTGTTCATTTACACAGTCCATCGTGCACTTAGAAGATATAGTGCACACAATTATTGCCTGTTAATTTATACTTGATTGTAATTCAGTAATTTAAACACTTAAAAAAACTTGGAGACTGGTACGAATGCTATGTTCAAAAAACACGTAAACAGACATAAAGCGGGTTAATAAAAGCAGAAATCTTTCGATAACTAGATTTGTCATAAAAGGACGAAATATATCCGTACATTTTCTTGCTTAAAGCATATATTCTACGGTAATCACTAATCTGTTTTACAAGAAATTAAAAATAAAAATCTCCTGTAATCAATATTAACCAACTGTAAATATCTCACTCCTATAGGAAGTCAGTCACAACCCGAAGACTTCAGTGGTAACGTCACAGACAGTTTAGATGAGTGACTTAGGTTTCATTACGCTAAGTAGCATCGGTTCCTACAAGATTACAAGAATAACTTGCTGAAAAGTGCAAAGTAGCAAGAGATCTAGGTTCAGAGTTTCCTACGGCGTGTCACTAACCACCTAAAATAAGATTACATGCATATGCCAGTTTATAAACTACATTCCATGACTTGAATATTTATGAGAAGTCAAAGGGAATTTTCGACAAGAACTAGAATCATTTAAAGTCAAGAAGTTTGAACTGCTGTTTATGCCTTAGTTTGAAAAGTCTGAGAGACGCATTTAGAAATTACAAAATAAATCACTCGTGAAAATTTAACCAGTGTCCAGTATGATCGATAATAAGTAGCTTCTATCAGTTAAACCTTAGAAAACATATAACAAAAAGTATCGAGTAATGTGATTAGTTAAAACCTGCCTAAAATGCTCAAACAATATACATTAAAGCTTTTAATATGTACTCCATATTTATCTGTAATGTGATGGAACAGGTATTCAGGTTGCCGAACGAAAAATTGAAAGTCAAATAGAATATTCCAAACTATAAGATAAAACCAGTTTAATATTGATAACCACAGTAGTATTAGATATTGTTTCGAGAAGATTCTTGAAGTCTACAGACGAAATCGGTTAAAAATTTTCATCTATTCTGTACTTGAAAAAAATAATCAATAATTCGGAACTTCATTCACATAAGACAAACAATTTACTGTTGCATGGATACTAAAATAAGGAAAACCGCCAAATGAAAAATACAGATTCATGAGAAACTAATAAATGACCTAGTAACAGAATTTAAATGGATTTGTTCAGATCGACCTAGTTAATCTTCATTATAATGCAACTAATCGTATGAATGCACAAATAGATGCTTTATTTGGCCTACTTCAATTGAGTGTCCCAAAGTAAACTTTTTAGCTAGTGATGCTATTACCAAGTGAAAACAACATTTCTCGGTTTTAAAGTCAAATTTTTATAGAGCCACTTTGATGTACAAAGTGTAATAAAATACGCTGTTAGAAACAAGGAAAATTGTCAAGAAAGCCAGGAAATATTGAGGAAAATATATAGAGATCATGGAGTAAAGAAAATAACTTCATGTTGTTGAAATATTGCAGAGGGATAAGTAAAGACTGATTATTGATCCCTGATGTTTATGAAGATATCAAAAGTATGGGGCCTCCTTATGGTTTCTAATGGCCTATTCATTATTTAAATGATTGGTGATAAATTGACTTTTAAAAAGTCGTCGATATTTACACCACGTTTACAAAATCTGAATTGACTATACAGTTCCACGAACATTTTAAACAATAAAGGGTAGGGTATGATGAGTATACTACTACAAATGTAAAATAATTTAAAGAAAGCAAGATTGACATAGCCTGCTGATTCCAAAATAAGGTTTTTATAGTACCGGTTCACGTCCTCATATATATATGCAGTAACTTCACTAAAAAGGGGACAGACTAAATTATTTAATTATCGGATAAATTGACATGTGTTGTAAGAATATGTATGTATACACGAACTCAATGAGGTTAGTTGTAAAATTCACTAACATAATGACAGATACAATAATAATAATAATAATAGTAAATAAGGAACAAAAGGGCTTTAAATTATCAAGTTCCGGACTAATAAAAATGGGAAGTATGTCAGTTACAAACCATAGAAAGGGAAAATAATAAATAATGATAATAACATAACGGTAATTTATTATCGGTAAAGTAGGTTAAAGAGTTGGATTACGAAAATATGATTAGGATTCACGAAGCTCATCAGTAAAAAATTTATTTACTGGTGGTTAGTTCTAAAAGACAGTCACCGGAGTTCTAGTGAGAATCCGTGATCAATAAAGTTCGACTATGTCTGCTATGAGGCAGTCATTTACCAATGACGTTCGAAGTTGGTTGTACAGTATCGCAATTTGACTGAATTCTGAAGTGTAAACCATTGAGCCTCGCCGAAGCAGTATAAATTTTGAACGCTCACCATGAAGTATGAAGGTGTTGGGCTCGGTCACTTGTGGGTTTGTAGACACACGTTAGAATGAAAAGACTGCCCAGAGCTTGCTGATTTTCAATAACATTATGTATTGCCAATCATAAACCCTGTTTAGCTTTAATGTTTGGGGTGTTTTGACATATAAGTGCGTAGTAATCTGATTACTATGTACGTAGAACAAATCATAGATACTTACAATGTGCTTATTATTCTGAAAACCACTAATTAAATTACTATATAGTACCAAATAATTCAACTGTAGTAATGAAACAATTAGTCAAATATTTAACCATGACGCTGATTGATACGTGAATCATTACCGTCATTAAGGAACATCGATTTCTTAATGCTCGAAAGTGTATCTTGCTAATGAGCACCAACATTGGAACAACACATTGATCAAAGGCAGTTGGTTACAATTGTTCAACACATAAATTATGTAAATATTCATAAGGTGATATATAATACATAAATACAGCTTACAAAAATGATATCAGCGAGAAAATTTCCATTGCTTAAAAACTGCTGTAGTGAACAAGAACTCGAGTGGGGGCAATCGAATGTATTTGAATACAAAATTACAGATCTTACTAAAATCTGAGAACCATACAGTAAATGCATGATTTGCCAAACATCAATCATTTGTCTCAAGCTTCACCGTTTTTTTGTAAATATCAGTCCATCATCTCAGATTTCATTGTTCATGTATTTTCTTACCAACTGCTTTCCGTTCCCATTGTTTCCTTCTTGATCTTCTACTGAAATACATTCTATTCCTGACTGTCGTTATATACTACTTGTGTGGATATATGTAGCTCACACCACACTACCATTTTTTCAAAAGCATATCTATGTTTTTGGACCTGCTTTTAACCGGGACCATATGAAAGTAAGACATACTGACTAGTTATTTTTTGTTTTCAAGATTCAAAATAATTGCATCCGATTTCCTGTTCAGTGTTCAATGACCCACAATTAAATGTTTAAATAATTGAACTTTAGCAACAACAAAAAAACATCATCTACATGTTATCAATCCATAAATATTTCATAAAATTTACACAGATTGTTTCTATGTGTTTGAAATAAGTAAAAAAAGTACATGATCAAATCACATTGAGATACAGATAGTGCAACAAGTATGAAATTGTGAAATAATCAATGATAGTGAATAGTAATGAAAATTAAATGAAACAAACAACAGTGTTATAATGGATGCAGCGATTTTCTAATTTGAAGTGAATTTAATTACATCTAATGAAATGAATTTCATCAATAAAAACTATTTAAATCTAAATAGGACTGTGATTTTGCATCATCAGTAGTGCTCATCAAAGTCAGTTAGTCGTAAGCAACAAAGAGCCTGATACATATGTGAATCTATTCAAGTTCTCACATTATATCAGTATAATGAGATGAAATTATCATGACAAATACTGGAATAGTAAGAGTAATAGTAGACTTAGTGACAACAGGCAGATATAGTGAGAATAATTCAAGAAGAATGAGTCAAGTCGTATAACAGAGGGTACAAAATAATTTTGAAATTCAAGATCTAAGACAAAATAAAGAGTGAATGAATCTATGCAGTTGTGACCCATACCGATCCTTGTCACACATGATCTACAACCATTATTCACGATAATGTCGGGACCAAACCAAATGGTCTTCACTTATGAACATGATATAGCTCAACAGTCAGGAAATTCATGACTTAATGTCTCGACTTAGTTCGGTTGCTTCCAAGTTACTCCCAACATACTACCACTCCAACCAAGCATCGAGATAGGCAGTGGTTGGTTGTACAGGATATACATTCTAACCACTTAAATTGATGATTTGCTATCTTAACAACGGATTTTTTATTGTTTGCCTAGTGCTTTGAGTATAAATAATACTCTGGCAAAGCTAGAACCCAAGAAGTTTAGTCTTTGGAGCGAGCAGTTTGTTCATTACACTAATTGACTATTACTAGTAATGGTTTATATTACTTAATTCAAATAGTTTTTGTTAGTGTGCTTCTAGCATACATTGCCATCAGTTATGACTGTCTTACACAGTTATTCTTAAAATCCACTGTCATCGACTTCTTACTAGGACTTCAGGAAATGATCTAGAAGTTAATCACTAGCGAATACACCGTTATTGTTAGCAAGATAAGCTCGCGGAGATTGCTAGTTACCATAAATTGATTGAAGTTGGATGGAAACTAGATGATCTGAAAAGTAACACGTTCGCCGTTGGATCCGAAAGTTCTGAGTTCAGTTACTGACATGGTCATGGGTGTTTACTGCTGCAGAATCATATAACAGGACAAAACATCTGTCGAATACTTCTTGATTTCCAATAGTTGTCTAGATAAAAATGGTTTGTGATGTACATATGACAGCCTTTTGTGTGCATGGGTGCATATATAAATATATATTTATTTAATCAGATTTGTTGAAAACTCGCAAGAATTCTATTTGTGAATTTTTATTGATATATTTATAAATGTGTATTCATACGTACACACATATTACCAGTCAACACTTACACATCGATAAGACTTGGACTAGAAGGTATGGTAATACTTCGCCAACCTTTACCATATCTACAGGAATAAATCAAATCAACATAGCAAAATACTGATATGTAAACAAAATAATAAAACAAAATAAATAATTAACAATAATATTCAATAGTCTGTTCGTCAATTATCGATTCTAGTTTTTCTATGGATATTTATTAGTTCATTTAACTTACGCTCGTTCAATATTCAATCTCTTTGATTGATTCTTTCCATTAAGGGTAGATTTTGAAAGTGATGAACTTTTTTCATCTGTACAATAAAAATATATACATGAGAAATCCGGAAATTAAGACAGAAAAAAAAGAATAATCAGACATAAAAATCCAAATATTTAAAGATTAAGTGGAAGACAGTTAATCCTCATTTTAAATGATTTTGACAACTTTGTAGAATATAAAGAATTCAATTCAGAAGTTTTTCAGGATCAGTGCTGAATGCAAATTCCAGTGACATTTTAAAATATTTACAGGGAAGCACATTCAACTGTAGTGTTGACCACTGTCAGACAAATATAGTCTTATGTCAAAGAATGACTTCAATTAGACAATTATTACAAACCAGGAAGTATTGGATAACTGTTTCGTGCTAGTATGAGACTACTCACAAATTCATTACAACGAAGTAACTGGGAATCTCTGTTTGAAGATATTACGAGTTCACCTAATCTGAGAACCAAACGAAGACTCTGTGACACAAGGACAGATAAGCTAGCTATTCCGACGCGCCACAGCCCAGTCCTAGTTAGGAAGAAGGAAATATATTCTACAACCAGCCAGAAGCACAAACAACCACGACCAGACTAGTTGGAAATACACTCGTTTATATATTGATTCATACACCCATTTTCGACTAATAATTACGATGAAATCACATATATACTAAATCATATACTGATTATAGTTTATGTTAACTTAATACAAGAATATCATGTTATACAGAATAAAAAGATCATACGGGAAAACAAAACCGAATACTACACTGAATAATCATCATATTGAATTAAAACGAAATTAATGTTGGACCAAAAATCATAATCAATAAATTAATCTAATTTTGACTTTTTATCCCGTCATATCAATAATCTAGCTCAAGACATTCAGATATCTCTGAGGACGCTTAACCTTGATATAATTGAATGGGCATCCACTTACTTGTATTTCTTAATTCATTCAATTTTCAATATTACAAAACTCTTATCCGTTGCCACCGATAGTATTTAACTGATGCATGATATGCTAAGTTACAATTGTCACGATTTTTCCCTAAAACTCCTGAAATTAACTATAAAAGTTAGATACTAGTAAGCAAACGATGACTTCTTGTCTAAAGTCAGCTTAAAGTTTAAAGCTATTAAGTTCAATAGACTTTACAGTACACTATACTAAAGAAGTACAACTTTATACTTTTGCACTACATTTCCGGTATAAACAGTTAGAAACTGGTTTAGTCGAATCAGAGTTTCTTCATTGGAGATAATTCAAAGACGCATAGTAAACAGTCTCGTTAGTGTATTTTATACCCATCAACGTTATTTGAATGCAATACTTAACATACATAATATGTATACATGACATCAATTCCACAAGAGTTATTCTTTACAAATATATAAGAATATTTATTCTATTTACTAATTTATTATTTTATTGAATAATTCAACCCAAATGGTGGGCAAGATTTTCATTCATTGAAGTATGAATAACCTACAAAATTGATCTAATACGATTATCCACAATATTTGATAATACTGTAATTCAGTTCACAGTAATATAATATGATATTCAATGAACATAACATGGCTTATAGGTTTAATGGTAATTTAGTGTAGAATTCACCTTATATTTAAAATATATTCAGTTATTTATGATTTACATAGACTAATTATCAAACATTAGTATAAATGAATTAATTGAACTAACAAGAGGTCAACATGTTTTTAGATGAATAAAATTTACATCTGCCATCAGGTTTATCTCCTTCTGTGTATCATGTAAATTCTAGTCTCTTCTGTTTGAAATGTCAGTTAACCACATATATATATATATATATATATATATATATATATATATATATATCATCAATCTTGAAAAGTGTCATAAATGCATACTGTTCAAGAGTAATTAATGAATAAAAGGACGAAATATTTGTTCAGCGCTCCTTGTTCCTCTTTTTAATTATTCTCCAACTGAGATTGTTCTGCCATATATGCTACCATTACAGTTTAGTTCGCTATTTACTGTTGATGTGAAACCAACCCATTTGGACACTACATTTTAGGATTTGAACTCTAACTACGCCTACTCTGGAATCTCAGTCAGAAACATCACTATTGACCTATACAAACAGTGCATTTTGAAAACAAATACTCTTTAAAACCTTTTTACATAATGAAATGAAAATTCACTATGTAGGGAAATATTTCTGCTTACCTTTTAAAATATTTGTTGAATTGTTTACCGTCTCAATATGATGTTGTTGCTCAGAAGGAGAAGAAGAGGAGGCCTAAATTAATTAATTTTTGTCAGGAGAAAAACACAAACGTGAAGTCAGTATAATGTAGAATATGAATTATGGTGAAAATTTTAAACGATTTAGAAAAATCAACATTTTTGTAGATTTATATACTACTAATTCACATGATCATCGTTATAAATGGTATAAGGATATGTTCAGAATCAGTCACAATAGCACAGATGCACTCATTTTTTGACTATTTCTCTGGATCTTAAGTTATCAGGCTATCTTACTCTTTCTTTTCCGCAAATTCAATCTTCTTTTTGAATCATTATATTGGTAATGACTAGAGTTTTCTTCTACTACTACTATTACTACTGATCTTGTTACTGTCTCTACTATTCTCAATTGTCTTGATAATTTTATCTCATTGTGTCAATATGCTATGGCGACTCGGATCAGTGAATGTGTGTGCCATGTACTTCATTGATTATGACTAATTAATTAATAGCAAAGTAAGTAATCCAGAAACCAACACCTGAAAGTCATCAATTTCAATTCATTTAGTCGACTATATAAATATATCATTTGTGACTCCAAGTATGAGTTTGTATGATATGTTACGCATTTTACTTTCCCATACAAAGATTGATGATACTAACCAGTCATTCACAATTGAATAGTTTAAAAAATTATTACTACAAATAATAATCAGTAACATTGAATAAACACATTTGAAGAATGTGCATATTTCTAAATGACAATGATTTATTGAAAAAAAAAGAAACGGCTACAGCAAATCAGAAAAATTATGTTTACGAATCAGAGAATTTCTTAACTATTCAATAAGCATGAATAAATAATTTTAAACATGTTTTCATGTACAATTAGTACAGTGATTTATTGATATAATCTTGTTACTTAAAATAACATGTTGTCACTAATTAAACATCAGTTAGATCAGAATAATAATAATTTGCAAATGTTGCATAGATTGTTGAGACCAAAAAGAAATATTGGATATATTCTTCAACTTATGTATTTACGGTAAGTAAACTACATCGTATCGGAGATATATGTAATAAAATTAGGTGAGAGAGTTTAGGAATGAATCATATAAGTGATCTGTGTTGTTGTAGTTGACTAAGAAAATAAAAACTGATAAAACAACTCGAGACAATTGATATAACTCCAAATCCTTCTGCTAGTACTGCTACTAAAACTACCCTAAAAAAGATTACTACTCCTTCTACTACTATTACCACTACTAACAATGCTAGTACAATTACTACTGATACTAACACTAATACTACCAATGCTACAACCAGTAATACAGCTGTTACTATTAATATATCTAATACTACCAATAAACTATCACTACACCTATTACTACTACTACGACTACTACTGCCACTACTACTACTACTACTGCCACTACTACTACTTCCACTACTACTACTACTACTGCCACTACTACTACTACTACTACTGCCACTACTACTACTACTACTTCCACTACTACTACTACTACTTCCACTACTACTACTACTACTGCCACTACTACTACTACTACTACTGCCACTACTACTACTTGGATAACTACCACTGGGCAGATTCTGTATTAATTTGATTCAGAGAATCAAGAAAAAAAAATAACAAACAGAGGTTATTTGGTACGAAATAATGATTGATGGGAAAAAATTCATAAGGACGCAAGATAACAAAAATTTTCATAAGTTATTATATAAATGTCTGAGCTATTGTGATTGACAATTAATCATGTTGATCACAAACTCTACGCGTTGCCTACCACAACTAGGAATCCACTCATATTTATTGTAAAAGTATTATCTATTAAATAAATATACACAAGTTGGGTTATCATATGATGAGTAAACAACATTATTTAGCTAACAGGATCTAAGTAAAAATGAGTTAATAAATGTAAGGTTTAGAGCGTGATCCAATTATATATCATTTACTGATTAATGGTTTTACACAGTAAGATCAAAACATTTATATATCTGAGGTAAAAGGTTTACTGAATATTAGGCCGATCTAAACACATTTGTCAATTATGTTCAATAATTAATTGAAGAAGACTCTGGTTTCAATCTGAATTGAGATTGTTGGCAAGTAATGCTAAGAGGTTCTATAATAGGACAAGACAATTATGTAATTATTTTCCATAGTTTCCTAGCTAAAACAACTTAGTGTTATAAAGTATCTTTGACTAAACATCATTCACATTTCAATATGAACAACTGTTAGGTATATTTGTTTTCTTTGTTAGGATAAATTTCGTCATACAGTAAAATAAAATAATCCATAAAATTTTGACTACTTTTATCATCAGTTTACCAAATCCTTTTTATGTACTCAAACATATTGAAAGATATTTTGTTAAGTAATTTAATTAAACAAAATTTCTCGAAGAAATTCTCTTTAATTATAAATACAAAGTAGATTCAGTCGTATGTTTGTTGAAGTTAGAACAATTATTTGTTGGTACACACATATTTGGATAAAGTATATATTATCAGATCTTTAGAAGGAACCCCTATAACTTTTGTAATATTCGATTTAGTGAGGCTTTTTTATTTATTTATGTAAACACATAAACATTGGTACAGAGAGGCACCAAATAGATATGCGCCATATAAATCATTCGATTTGTGTGAGGCCTGGTATACTTCCCGGGTGGCCAAACCGAAGCAATTGGTTTTCTTAGGGGGACACACCCGGAACCTTTGACCTAAAGGTCTAGTCCATAAGTCAGTGGAGAAATGTAAGGAAATGCAGTCCCATGATAGACTTTGACCAACAATAGGTTCATACGCCATTTATTCCTTCAGGATCCTAGGGCCCATGAACACCATTGGTTAGGAATGAGGGTTTTAAGACTCTTCTAGATGGATCCTCCATATCCACCAATCCGGCTAAAGTGCCGAACATTCGCTTTTCGTCCTCTGAATTTCGTAAAGAACAGCAATGCCGCAAGAAGGCAGTGAGTAGGACTTGTGTGGTAGTGGTTGTTTGCACGTAGTCACTTGAGAGCACTTGGAGAGGGAGAGCTGATTCTCCCCACCCTCTGCCGTGCCAGGGCGTTTGGGGGCTAATAACATCATTCAGCCCTTACTCAAACACATACAATCTCTTGATAAGTTCTTAGAGTCCTTTTTGTGGATATAAACTGTGCTACGGATTTACACCCAATCGGATAGTCTCAAACGGAATGAAATCCATGTCCAGAATTCCATTGTTATACATAAATCGAACATATTAAATTGTAATTCATTTGAAGATTAACAAAATTAATTATCTATTAAAGTATTTAAATAAATATGAAAAACAAACAAACAAAAATACACGTTGTTTACATTAGATAAATTTAATATATTTCTTGATGTATACAAATGGGTATCATGTACATTTGTGCATCTTCCTGAAGATGGTGAATCACATTCACCTGATGAATTGAATAAATTAACACTTCCATTTAATTCACAATCTGTTGATGTTTGTCGACCATCAATAAAATTATTTCTTGTATACTGATACCATTGAAGTGGTGTTGGTGATCGTGTACGTGAATTATTGTAAATATGTTGATGATAACTACTACCATACTGTGGTGGAAGTAGATTTATTTTAGCTGAATCTTGTATGCCACCGTTGAAAATATCAGCTGGTGGAGATTTCATACTATATCGATTTTGTGCTAACGAACGTCTACTAGCGTTTGGATTGACGATGTTATTACTACTAGTAGTAGTACTGATATTAGTAGTTGTAGTAACAGGTTGCATAACTCTTGAATAGCATAATTCATTAAGACTAGCAGATTTAAATTGATCAGCACTTAAGTAGGCGTAATTTTCACCAGGCGATGAAAGTTTATGATGATTTATTTGTTCGCATGGTATATAAGCATCATATTTGTATGATTTATCATTAATTAAACGGGATGTCGGTGGGGTCGACTGAGTACCAGTTAGTGATTGATGAATAAAATTCAAATTATACTCAGGCTGATTAGATGTAGTGATAAATGAACAACTATTATTAAATGTAACTAAAAATATAAAAAAAATGTAGGGAAAAATGTAAAACATTAATTTTTTTAGAAATAAAAGACTATACTATAAAGTAACTGTCATGTAAATAAATATTACAGTTCACTATTCAGTAAATACACAAACATAGCAACTAAAGTCCTTGTTTCAAAATCAGAAGTAACGCTCAGTAAATTCAATAAATAAGAAAGATTGGTTCAGGAAAAGGAGTTCTTCGGAAAAATTTGTTTCAAAGATGTACAGTTTCAAATACATGCGTATCTTTCAAAACGATAACAACGGCAATAGTAGTGATATTGGAATTTCGCTAAACTTGGTGATATGATATAAATTATCTTTTACAAACAGTTAGTGATTGCTGCTTGACAATAAATTTTTCACTAGAAGTTGAAAACAAACAAACTATTAACTTTTTTTGATGCCAAAACGATAAAAAGTGATGGAGCACTAACGAAGAAATCCTTGTGAAACGACCAACTACCAAGCTTTTACAGCCAGGACCTCATTAGTCGAAAGCGAAACTTACTTATATTTGTCACTACATAAATACAAAGGATTTTTAGTTTCGAGATGATAAATAACAAACTGAACCTCCTTATAAAATATTTATAAAAAACGGGTGTCCATTTGTATTTATTGACAAGAACATAAAACTTAAACCTCCTTAAGCAGAAATAACCTCCATACCAAAAAAAGCTCTTTATATGAATGTTGAAGTGATATAACCATGTATATCCTGATGAAAAGTTCTGACAACATTTTCTAATATGCCCATAATCTCTAGAAATGTTTTCTTCTTTTTTTCTTATCTCACAGCCATCTGCCTTCCTTCTATCTTCTTCAATACAGACCTTTCTACCCCTGACTGATATTTTTCTGTTTCTGTGATCCTCCTGATTACAGTTCATATCAATGTCAAAATTTTATTGTATCACATTGAGCCTTCCGTTTCCAAATTACAACTACTTTTTCTATCTTCATGATGAATATTTAAGCTATGGACAACCGTACTATTGTTAATTCTCTAAACAAAAAATGGCGTTCTTATGCTTTGATTTGTTTCACCGCATTGTTACCATGTTTAGCAAAATTTTAATATCACGATTATCGTCATTATTATCATTTTTGAAAATAATAATATACTTATTTGGGATTGTACATCTGCAAAAATGAATATCCCGGAAAAAGCTCTTCATCAAACCAACCCATCTTTATTTTATGTCTCAATGGATATATTTTGTTTAGTTCAAGAACCGTTTATAACGGTTGTATAGAGGATACATTAAAGTAAATAAATTTTTTTCCAAGTTGTTTTTGTGTTTCAATGTGCATCTTAGACGGCTAAAGTAACATAATACGCCAGTACAAAAGTCAACACGTTATGTTTATGAGAACATCATATCACATGTTTCTCGGTTGCTGAACATTCTACATGAGTTTCATTTTATTTGGAACTTTTCAAAGAAAAAAAACATCTTTCTCGAGAACAATTGTGAAATACTCCAAGTTTCAATTTTACAAAAATTATCAATAATAACAACACACGATGAAGTCAAAATCATCTTATTTATTCCACACAAAATGATCTAACTCGAAACAGTGATATATATATATATATAACATCATCGTGACATCGAGGAATCTCAGAATAAAATCTTGATAAAAAGAAGTCAAGCTTGCAGTTTATCGTAGCACTGAAGTCATCCAGAAAATAGAATTTACTAGTATGGGGTTGTGGAGACTATTGGTTCAAGATCTCAATTAAATAGAATTTAGTCAAAATGATTGCAGAAAAGGGTGCCCATACGTGTTTAGAATAGTTTAATCATGTAAATAATACTAGATATAAACGTGCGTTTTGTCTCATAGTTTTATAACTAAACAGTTTATATCACTTCACTTGTCAATGGTCAAGAATAAAGTTAGGTGAGGATGAGAAAACGTTATATAGTTTCTGAATATGCACTTTTCTGATTCATTAAATATTTAATCATTGGAATGATACAAAAAATATATTATGGATTAGACAAACAAAATCATCAGTTACTAATGTAAATATCTCAATCCAACAAAAAGCTGGTTGGGGGTCTGAATAGCTCAACCATAACATCTCTAGCTATAATGGTGAGTGATACAGATTTGAATATATCGGAAAGCACCGCTTCCATCAACTTTAAATATACGCCTTAATGATGAGTGTTAGATATCATAAGGTCGAAACCCAACGATGTGGATAAAATAAGTATAACGTCAAATTTTTATGAATTATCGAATGGTTGAGGTTGAGTTAACCAGTTTCTGCCAAGCATTACACTTATAATTGGTGTTACATACTACATATGTCGACAGATATAAGTAGTATACACTACAGAGATATGGAGTGGTGTCTGATCACTAGTTAGCGTTCATGCAGAAAACGATGAAGAGAAGAGTCTGTTTATCTGACATAACACTTTTTTAAAGCTATGTCACTTGTAGAGAAATTCTGCTATTTCATTTCTATCCGACGCTTATGCTGTTCATAATTTCGTCTAAATTGACAATGAAAACTTCACGATTAAACTATTCATTTCGAAGAACTCGATTACCATACAATTATTTTCTTCAGGTAGATCTTCACTGCCATCTCATGAACCTTCACTCTAGTCTCAATACTGTTTAGTTAATAGTTTCCTAATCTTTTTAGTTCCAAAACACTAGTTAGAGTTGTATAACTTAAGCATAAAAAAGCAAGAGACTGAAGAAAAGCGGTTTTTAATAGCTATTTTTATTTATCTTATTATAAAGTAACAACTGAAAGAACAGAATGTAACCATTTATGTCGAATTTCACTAATGACTTTTTTTTAATAAAAAGTCAAAACAATGAATAAGTGAAAAAAATGAGGGGAAGCAAATCTTTAGAAACAAAAGACAAATATTCACTTTGGCATTCTAGTGATTACTGTACGTTCATTCATACCTACATACACATGTATAGTTATATGTCTGTACATACATTGTATGAAACTAAAATGATAGAAAACACAATATATCGAATTTATAAACTCCTGGTGATTGCTTATTTAAACGATCTAATCTAATCTTCTACCAGTTGTCGTAATGGCACAACATAATGGTTATGAATGCATACACAAGAATAACACAAGTAGCCCATATACAAAAATAATAGTGTGACAATGACAATAATAATAATGTCACAGATTGAAATCATGAGTCAGTTGAAGCTAGACCACCATTGAAAACCTGGAAGCACTGGACGGCCGTTTCGTCCTAGTATGGGACTCCTCAGCAGTGCGCATCCACGATCCCGTACCACGCGGGGCTCGAACCCAGGACCTACTGGCTTCGCGCGCGAGCACTTAACCATTAGACCACTGAGCCGGCATCCAACGGTGTTAATGTCTAACTTCAACCAATCCACGAAGTTGCGCCACCGTACACCATTGTCTTCAGTGAGTTACTATCTCACAACAGACCTGGTTGAACTCCACTGGTAACGGCTTCTCACTAGAACTTCGGGAGTTTTTCCTGAAGTCAGTCACTAGTGAGCAGTTGATTATTATTATTATTAGAATGGGTTTTGTGGAGATTTTAGAAATTTCACAGATTGAAATCATGAGTCAGTTGAAGCTAGACCACCATTGAAAACCTGGAAGCACTGGTTTCAATGGTTTCAAAAGTTAACCAACCATTGTTCAAGTGTGGATAATTTCTCGGTGTGTGTAAAGTTTGACAAGAGATATATGAGACAGTAGGGAAGTAAATCGAATAATAAATACACAGAATAACAAAAGTAACTAATGATGTTATTGAAGAAGAATAAAGACAATTCAGTGGTGAAAAAATTTCTGACAATATCATATACTCAAACTGTACAATGGTATTTGTAGTTAATTTACAAATCTAATAGTCTTTTTAAAAATAGGAGGACAATTACATCATATCATGTGTCAAAAAAAGGTTCTTGAAAGTCAAAAATTGAAGAGAGATAACAAAATGAAACGAAATATGAGAAGAATAATTATCCACTTGACGAGTTTGAAAAGGTTGAAGATGATGATAACTAATCATTTCAGTGCTTCCAGGTTTTCAATGGTGGTCTAGCTTAGATCGAATAGTGAATTCAACTGTAAAAATTCTACTATCTCCACAAATCTCTATACTGATAATTTAAATTTAAATTAAAAAGATTAAAACCTCTAGACGGATGTCATAAAATCAAATTACCGTTGATGAAAATTAAGCGTCAGGACGATGAAAGAATTTTGGCTTGTATGTGTCTCTTTTGAATATAGAGTTCAGGATTGAAATAATGGATTGAGAGCACCTCTACAATTCATTAGTTATTAATATGTGCTCCATTCGAACCGAATCGTCTGATTCTATAGATGATTTTATCACGTGAGGCAAGATGTCCTAATAATGATCTGCTGACTAATTTACACCCACATTTCGAAAGCCACGCAGGATAATGTTCAGAGACGCGTTTGAAAAGTGCTTGCATTGTGAGACCAATGTAACCTGCTCCACAAGAGTAAGTGAACTTATAAATAAGTATCGATTAGTCTCAAAATGAGAGTTTTCTTTGACACATCCACGAATAATGGGATGGCTAGAAAAAACGATGTGAACCTTGCAGGGATAAAAAGTTTTCCCAGAGGATTTTGTTAGATGATTCTTTAAAATTTCTGCACCAGTATCTCCTTTGATCTCAATGTTAATGTGCAGGGGTTTCTTAGAAACCTCATGACATCTTCCAGATTACAACTTAGGTTTAATGTTTCGTTCAATAGACCTGGATGGACAGCCTTTTTATAGAAATATCTGTTGGAGGTTGGATAGTTTTTCGTTAATCGTGCATTCCGAGAACGTTCGCCTAGCTCTCATTGGAATTGCATTGACATCAGCAATCGAATTTACAAAGTGGAAATAGTCTAGTGTTCAGTATTTGTTGATCTGATTTCAAATCGGTTGTAGAATTTCTGCTAGCTATTTAGCGGTTGCATTGTGCGATGAATTATTCATGTGTAATATGAGCCTTACGTACTCTTCCTTCTCAAGTACTTTTGGAAGGCCGTATAGTTTTGAAACAACAGAACTAGATGGTTTTAGATATCTCAGAAACTCAACACCGATAACTGATTCATCTTTTATCATCTTAAGGATTTTTGTAAATACGTTACACTAGCTGTCAACGAATTTGGTTAGGTATATAAATAAACAGAAAAAGCGTATTTTGCTATTGTTCAACATTAAGAACTAATAAATTACGTTGACAGGATCAATGTGATGTTTTTACTGTATAAGAATATATATATATATATATATATATATATGGTCCTGTAGTTACTAACCTGGAGTGATAGAACGCCGGAATAAAGTTGGATAATTCAGCTAGAATAAAAATAAACAGAAACCAAATTAAATTCACTCGAAAAGAATAATCAACTTACATAAATCCACTGACTAGTATTAATAACAATAGAACCAGCAATAAGTGCTTCCAGGTTTTTAATGGTCGTCTAGATAACGTTAGTTTGTGATTTAAACCATGAATGTTCTACAGTCTTGACGAACTCATCTATATTTTTAATAATCGTGTGCTTGCTGGTGACTAACTTCAAGATGAAACTTCTGGAATTTCGGTCAGAAACCATGAGCAATCGAGTTCAACCATGTTGAGTATCAGACAGTGATCCAACGTAGAATGTAACCGTTGTAATGCTTTGCTAGTCCTTAGTGATGACTAAATTTAACAAATTGGACTAAAATTTCCCCTCAAGTTTAAGGGACTTATCATCATAAACATTATGCTTTGATGTTAGTTTGCTTGAAGTGGTCTAGAATAGTGACTGTATTACAAAGTATTTGATAAGATCTAATAGATCTCAGTTTCACAGGAGGTCGTTAAGAGTAGAAATGCCTCAGTGTTTACATCTCATACCGTAAGACCGGGCGATGTGAGTTTGAATCCTCTATGAACCGTCAGTTACCCCAAGAGTGCAAGTAAACGTCGTTAGTTAGTGTCTTCTTCATGCAAGAATCGCTCTAGACTACCACAAATAGGCAAGCTCGACATTCAGACGGGAGCGAGATACGAACTTTGATAAAAAAAGAAGTAGTAAAGTGAACGTACAACTCCAAGAGCAACACCTTAAAGGAGAGACGAGTGTGGCGTGCGCTACTTATGCAGACAGACATAGGTAGTATGTAGCCGGAATTGGAATGCTTTCCGGCAGAAGATTGAAATAAAGAGAAGAGAAATAAAAACAGAGAGTGATAGAAATAGCATCAGGATTAGAAGAATGATGGAGTCTGTAAAGGACAATTCAAAGAAGATCTACAAACGATGTATTTATTGTATGATTTTCATATTTTACAAAGGGATTGTGTGATTTCGCACAAAACGGTAGGTAGAGCGAAGGTGTTAAGTGGAACTCAAAATGCTAGTTAATGTGCGAAAAATAAGGGCTTGTTTCTACGGTTGCGAGTGATTTCCAGCTTTTCAAAGCTCTTGAAAGCACACCAACCTTGGTAACAAAATTAGTAATTATCCACTGAAGCTGTGAAACATAATTCACAGTTTTCACAATAAATTTCGGAAACGTTTCTACCTTATACTGGTTGGGTAAGATGTTTTCACGTTTTTCCTTGCCCTAAAAGTGTCAAGGAATTCACGAATGCACTTAGTAAAAGTTGATTAACTGTTTTAGGAAATGTCGAGTTCCTCAAAATCGTACAAGCACGATAAGCGATAACGTAGGTCTTTAAATTCCAGATGTAGTATTTGCACTAATTATCTCATGGTAAAATAGAAAAATAGAAGGGAAACTTTGAAAAATAATCAAATAAAATATAGTGATTAGTTTGAAAGAGATGAGATGTTATTAGCATTGGAATCCAAGATACTCATCACATCCCATTTGGGAATCATCAGCTTCATGAAGGTGACGGATTCCACGGATAGCAATATCCCATCTCTTTCGTACAATTCTGTGTCATACTTGTTTCATTGAGGGAATTCGCACAGGATACTTAAATCCCAACCAAGACTGATTAAAATTCAGTCCTCAATATAAACGACAGCATAATTCAAACCATTCCAAATAAAAATAGGGATTAGTTTCTGAGATTTTTCTTTTCTTTATAAAGAAACGAAGTAAATAATTAATGCGCAATGACTCATTTAGTATTGGGCTGATAACAACAAAGTATAGTAGAAACAAGTACAAATCATTTGAAACCAGACAAGTTCCCAGTCAAGTAGAAAGATTATAATTTTTTAAAAAAACAAAAAAAATTATTCTAGGAACTAAAAAATATACGGTGATAGGAGTAGTTGACACTTATTTTTAGTTGGTGCTCTTTTAAAAGAAAGCTATTTTTCATTTACTTGCCATTTGTACACTGGTATCAGTATCATTACTATAAATAATAATTATTATTTAACCGGGTCTGTTGTGAGGTAGTAACTCACTTAAGACAACGGTGGACGGTGGAGCGATTTCGTGGATTGGTTGAAGTTAGACACTAATACTGCTGGATGCCAGTTCAATGGTCTAAGGGTTAAGCGTTCGCGCGCGAGACTGATAGGGGCGGGATCGTAGATGCGCACTGCTGAGGAGTCCCATACTAGGATGAGACGGCCGTCCAGTGCTTCCAGATAATCCATGGTAGTCAATTAATAAATAACTATTATTCCAAATGGATTTATTTTACACAGTGACATGCTTATAAATAAATGTATCCCAGAATAAACCAGTTTTTAGTTCATGCAACGCGTAATTCACTGCTTCATATGTCAATAGGAGAAGCAAACTTCACTGGATAGTTTAAAATCCCAGTCATTTTACGTAAGCTTATTCTTATAAAATATTTGTGGAGGCAGTAAGTTTTCAGTATTGAGAGTTTTTAGAACTCGTCAAATTTTATAGTTTTTATCACTGAACGATCGTAGTTAGACACCTAATAAAAACCAAGAGGCACTTGAAAGCTATTTCTACCTAGTATAGGACTCTTCAGCAGTGAATATACATAACCCAATCAAAGGTCTAATACAGAACTTTCAGGTCTCTCAATGAACATTTAATCTTTGGACCACTGAGTCAGAATTCTATGATTTACAAGTCCACGTCCAATCAATTCATTATAATATCTAACCATCCTGCAATACTGACAAAACAGCTGCTCAGTGCTTTTTAACTTTCAGTGGTTATCTAAATAAAGCCATTCCATGATATAAAAGTTAACAATCTCCATAAACCTTTCAGAGTAAATATTTATTTTAATTCACTAGCAGTTCCATAGATAAATATTACATTAGAACAGTAGGTTTTGATACGTGTTTTGTTTTCAGTGTGAATATTGGTGATACTATTAAATTGTCAGTCAGTTAGTCAGCTACAACGTAGGACCAGGTACATATGAGCATCGATCCAAGTTGCCACACCTCATTAGCACATTAACATGAACACCAGATTCATAAAAGTGGTTAATTTAGTGATGATAATATACAAAAGAAAGATTGCATATAAGGATATAATACAGGAAGAAATAATTAGTTCGTAGAAAGAAAGATATGAAGCGATTTTAATCTCATAGTTTAAGAGAAGACAGAGAGTGTATACACCGACGTCATTGTGATCGATTCTAAGCCATGTTACCCCGAGTCTCTAACCATTGATTACGATAGTCAAATTGTAAAAACTGATATTAAATAAAGTAAGTTACAATTCTCTAATTCAAAAGTTAACAGTCGATAATGAAATTAAATTTATATCTTACCTATGAAATTATCCACTAATCAAAACTTAATTCTATTCAACTTAATATGTTAGATAAAGTTTGATATTTATACCTATTTAATTTATTTCATATTACCGAATAAGAAAAAAATGTCATCGATTAACCGTTAGTTGCAAAAAACAAAAAAAAAGGTAAACTAAACAACTAATATCATGTTTGTGTCTATTCTGTCGTTTCTTCATCTTTCTAAAGTCAAAAGACATACCCTATTTGATTCTCTTGATGATTCATCTGTAAACAAAATAGAAAGAAATAAAAGACAAAAGGATATAAATCTTGGTGTTCAATACTAAAACAAAAAAAAACGAAGAAAAAAAAATTAGTTAAGAATTTCATTTGTAAAATATCAAACAATTAAATTTATTTTCCATTAATATTGGAATGTAAATAGTTTATGAATGGTGTATGAACTATGAACAGTAAACAAATTAATGTATTGATACAAACGTATAATTCAATAATAATAATGATGATACATTTTGTAGGTCATCAATAACCAATGTCATTTATAAGTGAATATGTTGAATAATTATTTACTCCAGGTTTAGTTATTTCAAAGTGTTGCACACACTTTCAGTTGACGGAATGATCGTCGGTTCGACTTTTTACAGTATTGTTAGTGTAATTTGATAATAAATATTGAAACAATACGTATGACTAGTTCACTTGGTATTGTTTCACTTGAAATCTTCCCATTGATGTTTAGGACTGAAATTGATCAGTCTCTTATTGGCATATGTGCATACTGTGCGTGTTGCCTCGATATTGCCTTAATTCACAAGCATCATAAGCAAAGATGGATAGTGGGTAGCAGTGGAATCCAGGACGCGCGTTTTGTCCCACTCGGCACTCGTCAGCAGCATGTTCCTGCATCTCAGAGTTGATGTTCACTCTAAGACTCGAACCCAGTACCATTCGCTTCAAACGCCATCGCGTTATCCACTTAGCTACTGAGTCCTGATAGCCACTTGCTTGTGCAATGGGGTGAATTTAAATTCACCTGGTATTGTTTTAGTTGAGTCTTCCTATCTTTCCACTGCTGGCCATTATCCATCTTTGCTTATAAGACGTATGACTGTTTAATGTTACCTAGTTTTAAATGACATCAGTTCTTAGTACAATAGTAGACTTCAAATTGTACAATATGATATCATAACTACCTGTAGTAATGATGACAAATCTGATAGAGGACTTCATCAGAAAAGTTTCACTTCAGTAAAAGATCATTTGTAACCCGAATAGCTCAATGTATTTTTAAGTTCCACCAAAGATAAAAATTTCCTGATGATTACAGGCAAACCTTGCTGACTGTCAATTGACGGTTAGTATGAAAGGTTTCCAAGCAGACTGTTATTAACAGATAACCAACTATTTCAACTACATTCTGAGAATGATTGAAATCTTCATAGATCCGAGTCAACAAATTTCAGTCACAATAAAAATTTGGGTATACATTGACTTTTACAAACTTAGTTGTATTTCGGCTTTAGACATAGAGGTTAAATTACAATTGACTGAATGTAATTTGATGAATCTTCCAGTTTCATATTTCTGTGGATTAATTACTTTCGTTTAAATGTTTGTTAGTTTTTTAATCTCACTATACACACTGTGCCACTAACAATCAATCAATTTTTCTTTAGTACACATCTTATTTACAAAATATCATAAAACAACACTAATTGAAGGGGAATATAATGATTTAAGCCAAAATTGATTAAAAGAATCATCAAGTTTATCAACCTGTTTTAAGAGAAGGAGAGAGAGGAACTTGAAACTACTAAATTCTTGTATATATAAAATGATCAAATTCTGAAGTGGCTTTTGACAAGTTGAAAATCATGATGTATATGCACTACACTATTGTCGCTTGATAAAAAAAGTAGTCTAGCTTTAATTTATCAAGTAATTAAAACTTGAAAGTAACAGTAAGGTATATTATTTAGTTAACTGTACAGTATTGCGATCATATTATTTAACACAAACATATTGCTAAGAAGAAAAAGAATCGTAGTTTGACTGATAGACTTAAATTTAGATTTTTCAAACTATATGGCAATAAATGATGGATAGTGGCTAGTAGTGAAATCTAAGACGCGTGTTTCGTCCTATTTGGGACTCGTCAGCTGCGTGTTCCTGCATCTCAGAGTTGATGTTCACTCTAAGACTCGAACCCAGTACCATTCGCTTCAAACGCCATCGCGTTATCCACTTAGCTACTGAGTCCTGATAGCCACTTGCTTGTGCAATGGGGTGAATCTAAATTCGATTGGTATTGTTCGGTTTGTATCTTCCCATTGAGGTTTAAGACTGCAATTGATCAGTCTTTTATTGGCATATGTGCATACTGTGCGTATGCCTCGATATTGCCTTAATTCACAAGCTTTTTGTATGCAATGATGGGTAGTGGCTAGCAGTGAAATCCAGGACGCGCGTTTCGTCTTATTAGGGACTCGTCAGGTGGATGTTCCTGCATCTCAGAGTCGATGTTCACTCTGGATCAAGTCACCTGAACTAGTGACCATGTTGCAACATTGTAGGTAGCATTAGGTCAGCACTAAGGTCTACATAATTATGTCACTGGTCACTGTAAAACTGAGAGATGTAGATTTAAACTCCCCAAACAGGCATCATTCCTCTGAAGACCGCAGGTGTGAGTTGATGACAAATGCTAACCAGCACGAAGCTCATTTTCACTATTTCCTACTAACTACCTCCGGTAACCTATTATTAAGCAACATACAATAAAATATCCGACCTAAGTAATAACAAAATATGGAGACATTTTGACTTTATTGATATTACAAAATTAATTATAAGTCAATCTTAAAGCTTTTTCAGCTCTAACACTAACTAATTAAAATCAAAGTTTCTTAACATGGTCTTGTAATCTCATGAATACAAAGTGATAAAATTTACTGGTTTATTAAGGAATCTAAATTGTAACAACAGTAACTGTGAATTATATAGATTTTATTAATTAAAATCATTACATTACCGACCGTGTAACAATATGTTTTAGTCAAACATGTACAGAACAATGAATATGAATAATTTTGCGAAAGAAAATCCCACCCATAAAATGGTTACTTAGATTTTATATAAAATAACTAATTTTGTTTAATGAACAAGAAATTCGTAAAGAATTGAAATTAACTTGTTAAACAAGTAAATAAAGGGTAGAAAATGCATGAACATTGTACATTTAAAAGCTTTAATTAATTTTATTTTTAGTAACATGACAAACTCCTGTAGTTGTCTAGTGTACAGTCTCTTTTTACTATCAAATTTATGGTGTATGGCACTTATGTCGACAGGCATAAGTAAGTAGATGCTGGGTGAACATAGGATTTAGATGGCCCGGCTGGTCAATATTGCTTTGGAGGTCAGCGCGCTGAAGGACCCGACATTTTGACGGACAGCGTGGCACAGATTGTAGTAAAAGAGAAGGTGGCGCGGTGAGCAGAGCTACCGCAAAAGCGACTATCTAAAGGGTGGAAAAATGTGATGTATCCTACTTATGCCTGTCGATATAAGTATATAAAACACATCAGGAGTGGAATGCCTGACAGCAGAAGGTTGGGAAGATCGAACATAAGATAACACGAACAGAGAGTAATTTAAATAACAACATGAATGGGGAAACGACGAAGTCTGTAAGCGAAAATTGATGGAAGAGTTGCAAATGAAATATTTAATATATGGTTCACATATTTTACAAAGATATTTTGTAATTTAGTATTAAACAATAAACCGAAATTTCCCACCTGTTTTCATTCACAATAAATTTATTTGAAAACAATATATATCTAGCGCATTATATCATAATTAAATATTCACTGGAAACTGGGAAGCACCGGATAGGTATTTTTCTCTAGTATATGACTTCTTGGTAGTATTCACCTACCAGATTCTCGTTAAGGGATCTAAATATTTAAAGTTCTTCAAGAGACTTGGAGGTTCTGAGGAGAACCATGTTAAGGCGAAACAGTTGTTCAGTGCTTCATTGTTTCAGTGCAGATTATGGAGACTGAAGGATAGGAACAAAATCAAGATAACTAATGATCACCAGTGGTCATGAAAACATTAAACGTGCGTGATCTTTGTGTATTCCTTACTCGTAGGCTTCAAGAACAATGGAACTCATAAATATCCCGAACAAAAGTTGGTCTTTTTTATGTGTTCATGTTAACTCGATAAATACACACCTGACAAATGAACTGTTTACTAACTAATTTGATGCAAATTATCGTCAAATTAATAACAATTCAGAGCTTGATCTATAACTTATTTAGTAAACAGAATTTCAAATAAAGGGTAAGTTTCCTAAAGACTGCGGATTTCAGGTTTTATGATGAAACATTATATTTTGCCAAACACCAATTTGTTGTCTATATGAAGAGCTGAATTTAAGAAAATAATGTTTGTGTGCATAGTTTGATTAGAATACGAAATGACTTTGCAATTAAGGAGACTGATTTCTGGGGACCTCTACGGGTATTTTGAACGAAGGAAATGGAAATTGGACGGAGTACGGTTGACAATCGTTTCTACTGACCCTGAAAAATTATTATGCGATTGTCGAGTTGTGCTGCTAGTTGATTGAAGTTTAAATTGCATCATTGGATACTAACTCAGTATTCCTAATCATGAGGCGCTCGCCAAAAAAACCGGATGTCTTAGGTTTGATTTTCGTAATCATGGCTGTATGCTGTTATGGAGTCATATACTAGAAAGAAAAAATGTCCAGTACCCCTTGATTTTCAACAGATCAGACGAGGTCAGTTTGTGGTGAAAACTACCTGTAAGTTAAATCAATCTTCAAAATAACCGCTTCAAGGAAATAATTAAATGTTCAACTAAAATTTTCTACACAACATAAATCGAAAAATGTATAACGTGTCGGTACAACAAATGTATTAACTTCTCGTTTTGAATCATAAAGCAAATATACCAGCAATTTTTCTTTAATGTTTACCGTTAATGACTTAGGTAGTAACTTTCATGACCTGATTGAGATAAATGATGAACAGTTTAGTGAAGTTGATGGACGTAATTTTATACTTCACGCAATAAAATTACGAAAAATAGAAAGAGAACTAGATAATGGAATAAATGATTTAGAAGATTTTCCGCTTATGCGAATATGTTTAGTAGTGTTTTATTATTTAAGCACAATGGATTAATTGTAAATCTTTCGTTGCAGTTTAGGAAAAAGCTAACAATTAATTAGTATTTGAACATAGACTAACAGTATGATGACATGACATGTCATCGATTATTTCAATGAATGCAGCCATCCACAGAAATAAAATTCATTTGGAAGGCTTTAAAATCCTGGTTTGAATAACTCGAAAAAAAACATGACATTCAGATGAGTCGCGAATCAACAAGGATATCTGTCTATACTATATCTACAAGAAAAAGGTCAACCGCTTATTTGACTAGGGCTCAACTAAAAGCAGTCTACAGAAATAAGACAGCATATAGAGCCGAAAAAGATTCCAAGGATAGCCATTTACGGACAAGGTCATAAGTATAGACTTAGCATTTAGCGATTATGGAATAATGACATCCATAGACTCTACGTGAGGTCAGTACTGATAATATTTCCCAGAATGTCAACAAAAGGTTTTTAATTAAAATAACGAGCTCAAAGTATAGATGGCAACTAACAACAAGTAACACAGGGGATTTTCTTCGTTCATGTTTAATTATTAAATTATAACAAACAGAATAATTTAAAAGCCAATATTTTATCCTGTTATGAGACCAATTACCTGAATTCGCCGCTACACATGTATATATATCTCAGTGTTTATATGTACACTGTCGACTTGAACCCAGAAAGTTGCGGTAGAAACGCTAACACATCACACACTAGTCACAATATGATATTTAGAAAAAACGAGAAGTATATAGTCGTATTTTCTTAACACTTACTATTGACTTATGCATAATCCTTACATCATAATAAATATGCATACAAAGAAAGTAGGATTTACGAAAAACTCAGAATGATTATATGTTCTAATAATTCGTAACACATATAATACTTAAATGTGATGATCTGTCATTTGGTTTTATACGTTACTTCATAATGGACAAGTAAAAAGGTGATTAACACAACGTACATAGCAAACGCTTACTTATTCTGTAATAATTATTTGAAAATAGATACTTGACAAGTAAACGAAGTAGACCATATATTACAAATATTTGTATTTTGTTTTGTTGTAATTTAGTGACAAATCAAATAGGTATTTCAGCTGAGGAGTCGTTTAAAGATCAATTCAGTTTGTAGGTTATATTCGTCAAGGGACAATCTTATTTATGGTAAGGATGAAAATCAGAAAACATTGGTCAAGTGTTTAGTACTAGCTTCGAACTCATCAATAATTTATATGCTTCAACGTGATAAAAATAAAACTCATGATTTTCTAATTTGACGTTTAACATCAATCCGTGATAAATACCATCAATAAAGCATTAAAAAATATAAATGAACGATGATAAGACTTTCAAACTTTTCAATTTCACATGAAGAACGAATATCATTTGATCAACGAAATCAGATGTGGTTTTATTACACGAATATTAAAATTAATCACAAGCAGATGATAATATGGTGTTTTTGAAGACTTCATTATTTAAATAAGTTACAATCGTGAAAGATTTATTTTCTTGTTTCAAAACAACGTTGTCACCAACTGAATTTATTCTAGTACAATAGGGACTCTATAAAGAGTTAAACATATGACTTTCATGTGACTTAAAAGTTTCGATACCTAATGAACCCTAAAACTTTAAGTAAACAATTGTCAAGTACTCCGTAACGTCATTTGATGAAGAAATTTCTTTCAGTTCGTTTGACATTTACAAATTAATGTCATTGAATAAGATGACTCTTGAAACTGTTCATATAAACAAGTACGACTATTCATTAAATAAGTACAATTGTGCGTACTTAGCTAAACGCTTTTTATGAAGCCCAGTGAAATTACTTGACTGTCTTAATTGGAGTAGGTTTTGTGAAATTTGAACCTACAGTATAGCAATTGTAAAGAGAGCACTTTGACTAATTAATCACATATATGAGCAGTGTAACTTATGTTAGGCCATTTAGATTAGTTTAAACTAACGAATCATTAAGTTATTTATACTAATAAATACTCATTTGAACAATAAAAATGGAGATTTGTAGATCAGGTGGATGATTCTGGTGGAGTTTAGTTCTCTGAGCTGGATGGTCCAATCGTGGAGCATTCATCGTTATTCTGAACGACATCAGCAGCAGCACAAACTCCAGGTCGAAGTCTGTAGAACTTTGTGCTGATGTCATTCAGAATAATGATGAAAACTCCACGACCAAACCATCCAGCTCAGAGAACAAAATTCCACCAACAAAAGTAACTTCTTCATTGGTAAAAATAAATATGCTTAATTATTAATAATTATTATTGAAACGAGTCGCTGTTTCTCAAGGAATGCGTCATTGTTCAACTCAAACAATAGTGTACACTCTAAAATTAGTGTAAACATATGGATTTGTCAAGTTAATCTCAGATGTTTGTTGGGAGTGGTGTGTTTCATACTTTGCATCATGAACTAACTTGAGTTATGAAACAACTGAAAACTTGAAAGTACTGAACAGTTCTTTCTTTTTAGTATCAAACTCTGCATAAGTGTGCATCTATGACTCCACTCTCGGTCCGAAACCAGGACCGTCAGGTCAATTGATGAGCTCTTAACATTTAGACTACTTAGTGGGTATTCATTAGTCTACATTTATAATTACCACCAGTTCGCGATATTGTACAAGCAGCTTTCAATACTATTGATAAATACATGTTCCATATACGACATAGTTGGACTTCACTGGTCATGGTTTCACACTAGAACTCAGGGAATTACCTATAATGAAAAGCCATTATTTAGTGCATGTTCATTATTAGTGTAAGTCATCTGTGAAGGTTGTTGAATTTTATAGTTTACATTATAAACTGACCTCAAATGACCATTGAAAACCTAAAAAATACTGAACAACTGTTTCGTGTCATAAAGTTGTACATAAAATAAAATTGTTCAATAAAACGGCGAGAAACCATGAACAATGGGCGATAAATAGAAAGAGAGAGTAAAATATACAGTAGGTTTGAGATTTCAAACTTTGAAATAGAAACACTGAAAGAAAGACAATCATTCATGTTGGTAATGATAATGTAAATGAAACTCACTTAATGTACGTATATTATTTGATAATGTAGCTGATCGATTAGATACAGTCGGACGTATTGTTGCACATTGTCTGTTATATTTTAAACTTTGTAAATCTTCATATGAATTTCTCAGATTAAATAAACTTGGACGTTGTGATAATTCTTTCTTTATTGTGGAACATAATTAGGTGGAAAAAAGGCAGAAATAAAAATATATTCTGGTTTGAAAAATAATTCAATGTATGCATTAAAACTTGAGAAAATCAGAAACAAACATGATTATTTGAAGCACAGTTGGATAGTGGATAACAGTAGAATCCAAGACACACGTTTCATCATTGTTTGGGGTTCCCTGACTAGATATGTTCGCATCTTAGGGCTGATTTTTACAACGGAACTCAAAATCAGTATTTTAAGTTTAAGGATCTCTGAATTTAAATTCAACATACTGTCTTAGATATTGACTAACTGTGCTAATCTTTTTTGGTATTGAACATACAAACAGTAGTTCCGGACCCTGCTCAGGAATACAACCGTTAGGATCTTGCACCCGGGAATGGATTTCTATCAGTTTACTAAGGTTTGAAGTTGCTTGAACGCATGTTCACTTCAATGCTTTTTCTTTTAATCACTAAATGAGACAATTAACACCGATGATTACCTAAGTAACTGATTGACTTACTAATTTATGCTGTTTATAAAACAAATGTTAAGTATTAAGTATTTTACGAGGTTAAAGAAAGTTTCTTTCCTTAATAAAATATATAAATCACCTTGAATTCATTTCATCTTATAAACCGATTCCTTTGATTTCACTAAAATTGTTGTCGTTAAGCAAATGTACCACTATTCTAAAACTATGAAAATAGAAATTTCGTTTGTTGGGAATAACCAAATGATAAAAATTCACTTTATCTTAAGAAATAATAGTTTTCATAGTAGAAAAAAATAATACGATAAATGAATAACAGTAACAAAAAATTGATTCCATTAAATGTCCTTATTTCAGACTGATAGTTCATAAGGTGGAAATTTATTTGTTTTCAATTTGGATTTATGCTATAACATGATCTAAATAACTCCATTGAATAGTTTATTCTAGTTTTTTTTAAACCGATCTAAACAAGTATTCATCAGTTGTCCTATGATAATTTTTAGCATGTTTAAAAATGTATGTAAATAATTGAGTTTCTTTCGTTAGATAATAATTCTTCTCTATAGCATACCAACTGTTGTCTTTTAGTATTATCAAAGTTAAGAAAATAATCATATTTGTTATCTCTTAGGTTTTTTTACAATGTAACCCATTCATTATCATTGTGTCAGTTTGGTCAATCACAACATACAGTGATTTTGCTATATATATATATATATATACATAGAGAGAGAGAGAAATCAATAATTCTAAGCTTGTTGGAATTTGTTTATAGATTTAATAGAAATATTTCCAACCATGATAATGAATAGGACGATTATAACACTGACAAAGAATGAACTCTTAAAAGCCTATCAAACTTCTGTCGTTCCGTTGCTGTCACGAAATTTCAAACTTATTTATTGGCAGTTTTCTTATCATGTATTTGAACGTAATTGACAAAGAGTCATGAAAACTTATGAGATTCGAATCTGTATCCCTCAGAATCACAGTTAGATAAGTTAAAAGTAAGTTTTGGGGCAGCAATCGACCTCCCATAGGACCAAGTTATGCTATTTAAAACTCGTCACCAAGGTATATCTCTTAGTTTGAAGAAAATATCCTACTCCTATTAGATGTCACAGGATAGCTAGCTAATAGATTAAAAGTGAATGTATTTATCACTAATAAACAAAGTAGCATATCGATATAATCAAACTCGTGAATAACTTATGAATATTAAGTAGATTTATACTGACAAAAAACATGCTTAAGATGAAGTTTTGTTCTCTTAGCTGGACGGTTCGATCTTAAAGCTTTCATTGTTCTCCTGAACAATATCATCAGTACAAACTTCTACCTTGAGCTTGTGCTGATGATGTTCAGAATAACCACGAAAGCTCCAAGATTAAACCGTCCAGCTAAGAGAACAAAACTCCATCTAAATAATCCATTTAAGCCATAAATCGTCCCAAACATATCAGAAGTCATAACTAAAGAAAAAGCACGGGATGATTAATGTCCTGTAAATGCTATCGATGAAACTCATATTGTGTGTTCATTTAGTTCAAAACTTAATATATGCAAGTGATTTTACTCATAAGTTCATTATTTTCTAACTTCACCTATAGTCCTTCCAAAGTCACTGTCGGCCCCAAGCCCGTATAGAGGTTGAGGGTCGAACATGGGGTCAGCAACCCTGCTAAGAAAATGATGCTATATTTGAAGATATTTTAAGTTAACCTAATCTGAGAATCAAACGAAGACTCTGTGACATAATAACAGATAAGCTAGCTATTCCAACGCGCCACAGCCCAGTCCTAGTTAGGAAGAGGGAACATGAACAACCACAACCAGACTAGTTGGAAATACACTCATTTATATGTTGGTTCATACACCCATTTTTGACTAATAACTACGATGAAATCACATACATAATAAATCATATACTGATTATAGTTCATGTTAACTTAATACAAGAATATCATATATTATACAGAATAAAAAGATCATACGGGAAAACAAAACCTAATATTACATTGAATAATCCAAAGTTGTGTACAAATAGGTTAATTGATTGTCCTATCTCGGTACTGACTGATCAGAATGCTGTTTTTAGGAATTTTCTAAAATTCTTAGATTTCTGTTAATTCGAAAATGTGGACATTTCACCAGTGCAGTTTAGTCCATAGTTGACAGTCGATCAGTTTTTTCGAAATATACTACTTTTCTGTAGAATTGAATCGTTTTTTTTAGTTACTAGACCAGTGGACTTCAACCATGTCGATAATGAGGCTGGTTTTCCACCAACAGCAGAGAATGACAGTTGTTCAGTATCACTGATTGCATTGTAGTTAGAAGTATGGATCATTTGATTTCAACTCTGTGGTCTAAATGATCATATACTCACTGCAAGAGCTTAGTCATCTCTCTTAAGGAGGATTATAAATGTAAACAGTCTTTGAGGAAACCCCACACTAGGATGAAACGATCATCGATTGCTTACTGGTTTTCAATTAATGTCTAGCTAAAGTCGATTAGTAATGTAAACTATAGACTGCATAATCTTTATATACGTCAAAAGGGTGGTCAGTGTTTTTTTAATTTTCTGAATTGTGATAACTAACGAATTTGAGCTATAAAGAAGAAAATTACATACTTTATTTATTTAAACGTATAAAAATCGGTACAAGGAGGTACCAAATAAATATGAGCCACACTTCGTCTTTCAATTTGTGTGAGAGCTACAATAATGCCAAGGTCCTCCAAACCAAAGCAGGTGGTTTTCATAGGAGACCACTCGCTGAGCCTTTGACCTAGAGGTCTAATCTACAAGACAGTGGAGCAACGTTAGGAGATACAGTCCCATGATAGCCGGTGGATATGCACTTCTGAGGAATCCGATGCTGGGAAAAAGCGGCCGTCTAGTGCTTCTAGGTTTCCAGTAGTGGTCTAACATTGATCGGTTCATGGTTTCAACCAAAACTCAACAATCTCCACAACCCTATACTGATAATGAACAAATTCACAAATAAATACAAAATAAAAACAAAACTAACCTCTAATTTGTTAATTTTCTCTTCTAAATCTCGATTAGTCTCTTCCAGTGCATTAATACGTAAATGTTGTTTTGAAACTTCATTTAATAATTGAAGATTATCCATATCACTTGGTAGTTGACTAATATTTTTATTACGATGATCGGTTGTACAGTTTTTATTGACCAAATAAGATAACTAAGAGTGAAAATAAATACGTGTATTTTCTTATAAATTTACATATATAAAAATATATATAGAAGTCATCAACATTTTTACTAAGAGTATATATATATATGGTTTATCCGTAAGTACTGACTGATTTCATGTTTGTCTACTCTTTGGTACGCTGATCAAAATATATCATTTAAGATGTGGTGTGGCCCTAAAATATGTAGATCGATATAGCGAGAGTGATCTACTCACAAACTATAACGTTCACACGATATCGAGTTATGTAAACTACTAATTGTATTACAAGTAAATCATTAGAATCACATTAGTACTTGAAAGATCAGATATGCATGATGTCGATCACTACTCAGAATTATACCTACCAAACTCAGTGTAGTATTAATGCCATATTATTGTAACTTAATCAAAACATCTTAACAGCAATTAGTACATTTGTGGGAAAAAAGTCTTAGTGAACCAATGGTGATGAACAGCTGCCATGTAGGTAGAAAATAAAGTATTTAACAGAAAGGGGATGCCAGGAAATAGTTTTATTAATTGTCGTCCAACGCATACTTCCAAGATTATTTATGTTTAAAAGACATTGTTAAATTAGTACTTCTAGACAACAATATACTTTATTTAGAAACTATCAAAGAGACATATAAATCAAACAACTTTTTCTTTGGTTTGATTAATTGTAAAATACTTCAGTTATGAGAAAAAACTTACGGACGGGTGCAGTTAAGACATTATTATTATTGTTATTATTATTATTGGTCCTCCACCTTTATAGACACAATTCTAAATCAATATATGGATCAACACATCAAGCTAACCATGATAATGTACGAACTGATATAAAAGACAGAATATGTAAAGCGTAGTTAGTACGGCTAACATAATATTTAGTATGGTGAATAGTCTTAAGGTTTAAACAGATCGGCTACTATAAAATTAATCTAGTATATGACCTGGGGAATAAACTTAAATGCAGTAAATGAGTTGCTTTGTTTGTATCTATTAGGCGTTAAGTTATTTACTAAAAAACTAGGTCACCGACCTGTAGTAGGTATTGGGTTCCCGACCGTAGCTAATAATTTGATGCGGTGATTGAACTTGCCTGTGGTTTTGAGCCAGTCAGAGTATATTGGGTGAAATGTTTTTTTCTCTAGGTCCTACCAATAAAAGTTGGTCAGTTATGTTATGGTAGTTTAAAGACAAATACTTAAGGTCCGAGAACAAAATCATTTACCTAGTTTTACTCTAATGACAAGGCAGTAGGATATTTTCCTCAAACAACCTGGATCTACACCGGTACTGTCTTACTACGACAAAAGAAGAGGATTAGATAAGGTCAACTTCCAAAAAATAACGCATCTCACATTGGCTCAAGAATCCCCGCCGGCAGTAAGGCCTAAAATGTATGGGGTTAACACATGAGAAACTACATATAAGAAGGCTAGTTGACTAACCCAAAGCACTTATCCCGAAGGTTCTGCAATCATGTGCTTAGGTAATTAGGACTAATAATTGGCCAGTCTTTTTCAGCTTCATCAAGTAAAAATATCCTTCCTCACTATCCCAGATTCGTCAGTATATGAATATCAAAATAATGATTAACAAATAGAAAAATACTTGATAATTTTTGCAGGATTTTCAACTCAATCTGCAGATAGAAATAATCAATAAAAGTCATTGTTTTTCACTATAGGGTTATGAAGATAGCTGAACTCCATTGAAATAAGGAACTGATCTAATTTAGACCACCATTTAAATCCAGGAAACATTGGACGGCGCTTCCTTCTAGAGTGCTTCCAGGGTTTCAATGGTGGTCTAACTTAGATTGGTTCATGATTTCAACAAAATTCAATAGCCTCCACGACCACTTGGTGATAATCATCACTTACTCACTAGTGACTATCATATAGAGTTCTAAAGAGAAACCAGACCAGTAGAACTAATCCGTCTCAAGTGTGAGACACCCACCCACCGAAGACAATGGTCGAGCAATGTCGTAGATTGACTGAGGTTGGATATCAACCCATTAGTTTGGAGGTTAAGTGTTCTCACCCAAGATCGAAGTTCCTGGGTTCGGGTCCCGCATGTAGGGATGCAGATGGGAACTCCGGAGGAATTCCATACTAGAATGAGACAAGAGTCTAGTTCTTCAAAGTCCTCATTCATAGTCTAACTTAGATTGGTTTGTTATTTCAATGAGAAATCGACGTTATTGGGGTTTCTATTCAAGTAGAACTAAAACGACAGCAAATGAAACACAAAAATAGTCAGTCGTAAACAACGTTAAAGCTGGAATATATGTACATCGGTTAAAATTGCCACATTATATAAGCACAGTGAAATGTCGGAGTATTAGTATTATTATCAGTGCTGGTAGACCGTATGTGCATGGGTGGTGTCCAATAGAAAGAATGAATTATTAGGATATGAAAATAGGAAGTAGTTTTAACACTCAAGATTTAAGGGAAAACATAAAGTAAGCGGATTAGAGTTATTCTGACCGATTCTGTGATATGTCCCAGAATGTCTTCAATTATTGGTTACAGAAACAATGAGTACTCCAACCAAGTTGTCTGCACTTAGTAGTATGATTTAGTTCAACAGTCAGTGTCAATGACTTTATGAACTGATGTATGTCTTGGTTTGACTATCCTTAGTTTTCGACTAACCTACTTCCATACCACCATACATCAATTGTCAAGGTAGGAAGGAGGTAGTTGAATCCCAGCCACTTCAGTCAATGAAAATTAATTACCTCATCAACTGAATCTAAAATCATAATTCCCCAAGTAATAGTTTCAACATACTCGAGTAATGTTTCGCAGACAATTAAAACCAAATGCTAGTAACCTACAAATATTATTTATTTTTAAAGTCGACGCTTCACAGCAATATACTAAGCAGTAGACATTGATCGAAAATCTGAAACCAGATAACAGATGTTCCTACCTAGCATGTGGAATTCTTAGAACTGAGCATTCAAGACTCTGCCAGAGATCTAATTCACGACCTTCAAATCTCGTGCCAAACATTTAACCCTTCAAGTCACTGAGTCAGTATCAAATTTTTAACAACAAATAAATTGAATTATTCGACGGACTAATATTTAAATGAATTAATTAACAATATTTAGCATAGTTGTCATTCTTTTTTTATCGAAATATAATGCTTAATCACTAGGTCAAGAACATTATATTGTCTCATAAACTTAAACTTATTTATCCATACAATGACATAAACTCAATGTAGTTTAGTTATCTATAAATAACCTTGACACAAAAACAGATCAATAGAAGAACACCTGAAATGAGTGTGCATAAATCAATGCATCTTACCAACTAACTAAACTTCGACATTATCAATAATTATTCTTATAATAATGACTATTGATCAACTGTAATATTGCACAATTTTATTGCGTATTTATCACGTGTATATATAATTAGCTGTGCTTTAGTGGTTATGGAAATATACATCTATATACATTTAACAATACAATCATCTTGTAGTAAATGTATCGTGTAAGTGTGCACTTAACTCTCTCTCTCTCTCTCACTCTCACTCTCTGTCATATCACATCTACACTTAGAAATTATTCAGGAAAGACGAATATTTAGAAAAATATGTTAATCAATTATAAGATTAAATATATAAAATGACTTTTATGTTAAGTGTAGTATTAAAATATTAATGATAATTTTGTAGTAGTAATAGTAGTACTATCGACGTTACTCAGTGTTAATAATAATAAGGCAGAAAATAAAGTGTACGTGTTTATATTTGTGTTAAAACGATGAGTACATACTAAGTACAAAGTAAATTCTGTCGAGTAATTGATAAATACGTAGGTGGAAGTATGCAATATTAATTAATCACTTATACATCTAATTGTTATTAAGATTCGGAGTACAGTGGTTTAGTAGTGTTTTTGTAAAATTTATTTTCTAACTTTGCTCCTTGATATGGTCGCGAATATGGATTGACGTTGAGAAGTTTCACATTAAGATGAAATAGTTATCCAGTGCAATCTGGTTTTCAACGGTTGTTTAGCAAAACTCAATCTATGATAGAGAGTTAAAATACTGAACAAGCTCTAGTGTTCTCTTTAGCTAATAATAATAATAGACTTTTGTCCAAATATTTGTACAATAACTATAAAAAAGATATTTCAGAGAAGAGAATTTTCTTTTCGACGATATCATTTAGTAGTGCTATACAATTGTATTTACCGTTAAATTTCTATAATAAAAACAGAGAATTATTAAGTCAATAACAGAAATAAATAGAGATGAGATGTGAAAGATAATCCACTTAACGATTATGAAGAAAGACGAAAATATGAGTGAACACATATCAAAACAACTCAAAAAATGGTATAAAGAACTGAGATGTGAGAAGTAATTGACAATGGGAAGATGAAGAGGAGAATAAAATAAACATATGTAAGGAAATAACTGACAAAATGTGAAGAGGTGTGAGGATTATAATAAACTAAGGGATTGAATACATTGCTTCTAAATGCAAAGATCGGGTTTGAAATGATGAATCCCCAAAGTCTTCATTATGCATAAGTTTTTTATCTACCATTCCTTTGAATCAGTTCTTCTAATATCGTGAAGAAATGTAAATAAATATTCTTGCATGGATATGTGACCGAAAATGTCCAGATGTTCAACAATCGAGCTAGCAGTGATTTTGCATTTACATTTTGATAATGATGCTGGATAGATCTTGGATATGTGTTTGGAAAGAGCATCCTTCGTGCGATTGCCATAGTACGTAAACTGGTAGATACACAATGACGTAGGCCGAATCGGCAGTACATTGTTGACACATCCTTGTATCAGTCATCTACTGTAAATACAGTTTGTAGTTCAGCTGAATAAAAGGTCTTCGACAACAATCTGGATAGTCTGTTTCTCAAGGTCTCGACGACTGTATTTCCGTCAAACTAACTTATCCTCTTGCTACGTTTGAAGTGATTATGATTCAACTTAACCGATGAACGAAACGGAAGTCAGCAACACGACAACAGAACAAGCTAAACGATTCACTGTGCCTCAGCCCTGTTAACTAGAGAGAGAAAACCAGATTCAGCCGAGGGAAAACTATATTTCACAAGCAGTTGGAAGCACAAAAAACGGGTCATAACTCAAGCGTATATATACGGTATAAAAGTGTCCTTCGGAAACGTCGAAAAATAGCGTATTAAAAGAGGAAACAAACCAATGATATTTAGGATCCTTCCAAGTGGGAAATATAATCTGAAGGTAAAAGTAGGCGCTTTTGCCACGAAAATGATAAAGATTTTCAAAATAAAATTACAAAAATAAGAGGTTTATCAAGTGATTTATAGGGACCTAACATCCCCAAAACCTCTCTTCTTCACTGTCCGTTATTCTTCAAGTGGTCAATTATTTTTCATATTACAGTTCTTCATACCATTATGTGAATTTTTTTGACATGTGTTTGTTCATATTTTCATCTTTCTTTATAATCGTTAAGTGAACAAACTTTAACATTTGGTTCCTATATTTTATCCCATTTTTATTACCTCTGGACTATTACGAAACATTAAATTCTGATTGACTTTTAGTACTTCTGTTGATGACTCAATAATTCCATGTAAAATTTTGACGATAAATACAGTTAAACAACACTACTAAATGATATCATCGAAATGAAACTTTACTTCTCTGAAAAATCTTTCATTTAGACAATACTTTACAATTATATCTGAACAGATAAATAAGTCATTTAATTCTTCATTTATTCAAATTATCATCTCTGTAGTAGTAATAACAATAATGATACTCGATTAAATCATCAGGATAATAAAATAAATTACCAAGATTAAAGTGGAATTAAATTGACTAATTTATTCGTAGAATATGTGTAAAGATTGAATATAGAAAGAAATTGATGTATTTATTTTTGGAAAGATTAAAATTTTAATCGAATTTTAGAAAGAAAAAATATGACACTTATATGTAAACAATAAGTAATCATTGGGACTATCCACTAACTACACAAAACATCTACATAAACACACCGGTTAATAAATGGTTTCATCAAAATTTTCTTTTAGTAAATCAAATTGAAATAGTCACTGAGAGAAAACGGTCAACATGAAAACACTTTCTTTTTTTTCTCCCTCTCAAAACGATGAAGAGAAAAATACAAATTTTAAAAAATAAACATTTAGTGAAATGCTTTTACCACATATTTCTAGAGAGAGATTTTTGAATTAAATTTGGTTCCGTTAATTCTGTAATTAATATTTCAAGATCAACTTCATCATAAGCTAAAGGTCTGATCACTTAAAAACGGAATGCTTGTATATTCTACATGATTGGACGAAGTTAATAGGAAATCCTACATAACTTGGGTTTCAATCTAGTTGAAACTCGTTAGTAAGGTGTACATGATATTTTCAGGGAAATAATATTCCCCGACGAGTTTGAACTCAAGTAAACCTGTTCTCAAGTCTGAGATGTTACGACTGAGTTAATCGGGTAGCGATTGTCAGTCAGTCAGTAACAACGTAGAACTTCGTACGTATGTACATCAGCTCGAGTTGCCACACCACATTAGCACAGAGATGCAGTTGTCGATTCAAATCCCGTAGTGGTAGAGGTAGCAAGAGTATAAGCAGTAATCGGGAAGATTAGGGTTTGGAGATGTTATTTAAAGAGTATAATCCAGTGAAATAAATTTGGAAAGAGGAAAAAACGGACGTGAAGGATTCAGAAGATTAGAATTTGGGAGAACACAAAGAGTGGATGCACCTGCGCCATTGCAAACGATTTTGAGCCATGTCATTCAGGGTCTCTAACCATCGGTTGCTATCATCTCGCGGTCCCCAACCAGGTAGTCTACACCTACCAACATGACTCAGTTCACTTGTCAGTGACTGAGATTGAGATATTTACAATTGACTGATCACGGAGCACTAACTAGTGTCGTGCCAATCTGGCTCTTTAAGCACTGATCCACTTTGATTGATTAGTTTGCAAGATTACAGATAGGAATTACTGACGAGTCCGAAATGTCATAAACCTCTAGGTTCGAGGTTTCCTGTCCACTATCTACAGACACTGAACATATAAACACAGTTCACGCAACGCTGAGTCAGCTAAACTGATGACCACATTACAACTTGATTAATAACATTCGACCAGCACTTACAGGGCCAAATAAACACGATATCGATCTCTATTCAGCGACCAACCAATGTATGCAGTTGAAAAAAGTACATCATACATACATAGATTTAAATTTACACTTTGTCTAATCGGTATTTTTTCTTTAAACAACTCCACTTCTGTGTGATAGATGTAGAGTAAAATAAATTTTTAAAAAATTCATACATTTCTGTCTACTGAAACACGTAAATAATGAAAAACATAAACTTTTCTCTAGCGTTTATAACAGCGTGATAGAACTTTTATGACATATCTTGATGTTAAATTTTCTCTCGTAATTTCGTTAACAATTACGACATTTTCTGAATGTGAGTCATTCATATATAATGTAGAACCTGAGACATATGTACATCGGTTCAAGTCACCATGCCCCATTAGTAGAGTGATACGAAATGGTCAAGGCAAGTCCCAGAATGTTAGTAGTACTAACAGTATTAGTGGTAGTAGAAAAGATTAGGCATCAAAGATACGATTCGAGAAGAGAATATTAATTAGTGAAATTAAAAGAATTCATAGGATAATCTGAGGACAAGGAGTGAATGTATCTGCTGATGATCTCTAGCCATGTCACTCAAAGTCTGTGAATATTTATTACGATAATCTGCGGTCCTCAATCAGTCTAGATAATAAAACGTTGTTACAACTTTTCCTCATCGTTAAAAAATCATAATGAAAACATCAATGGTAAATAGAATGACACATAGCTTACTGGATTTCCATCTTTCTCTAATTCTGCAATACGATTAGCTTGTGCTTGTACTTGTCCTCGTAATTTAGTGATTCGTTGATGAAAGCGTTTATCGTTGAGGCATGTACTAAATTCATCTGGGGGAAACACTTGTTGAGACTGCATTTGTTTAGATTGTTCACTTAAATTCAAGTTGAATTTAGTAGGTTGTGTGGTTGTGCGCTAAAATGAGTTTGAAAAAACACTGCGGTAATAATAATAATTATTATTATTATTACAATACAGTTAAAGTATGATTTGATAAAGTTAAGTTTGAGATCCGCTTAAGTTTTCACATTATTTGAAAACAATAACACTATGCAACAGCGTGGAAATAACAAGTTTAGAGTTTACATTGGATGTCGTAAGAGGTGGTAGAGTACAAATCTCAAGTCAGAAGAAATCAACATGAGAACCATGCAAATATGCACACTGGTCCTATTCTCCATAAAACATCAACAGAGAAAGATGAAGAATATCATAGTACAAGTAATTATAATTCCATTGATAGTAAGAAAAAGCATCAAGCTGAATGAACTTGTACAACAAACATCGTACAGTAATTTTGGAACTTAATGTCTAAGGGAACACAATGATTGAATGTATCTATAACGCCAAGATCGATTATGAGACATATCAATCAACGTCTAAGACCATTAGCCACGATATTTATTTAAGCCTCAACAAGCTGGCTTACATCTATCAACATGATTCAGTCTAATGATCAATTATGTCAAGTGTGAAACAAATGCTACCAATAATGACAGAGGAGACAAATATTAGAAGGAAACAACTATCCAGAGCGTCTTAGTTTTTATTGATTATCAAGTCAAAATTGATCCATGTTGTAAAACTGTGTTCGTCATACACAAAAATCTATATTATTTCGGATAAATTAATAGTGATATGTTTGATATCATATGTACTGAAGGCTAGAGATTATATTTTTAACTTGAACTGGCAAAGCGTGATTTTTATTGCTCACCGTTTTCTTCACTAAATTAGCTAATAAAATGAACCACAACAATACTTCGAAATCGGATTATAATTTAACATTAAAAGACTTATTTTGTAAATTTACTCATTAATGCTATGTTTTACAATATTTTACGAAAACACCACTATATTATGAAGTTAAATATATACTAAGTCTTTTTCACTTCATTTTAGCATAACCATAACCTTATTTGGACCGTAAAGCTGAGTCTTTGGTAGCAAAACTAAAACCTAATAAACCTCGCTAACCAAATGAAATGGCCAGTGATCTATGTAAGGATATCTTGAATTACCTTCGAAATTCTGTCTGTAGTATATATATATATATATATATATATATATATACATATATATATATATAAGGTAGTGCGATTAAAGTATTATGATTTATTTATAACGGTACAACAAATTATTTGAGGTAGTTCTGATAAGAAATAAAGGTTGCACATTTCCAAGCTCTTACTTTTCACATTACTTGTCTTAACACGGCAATCGATTCACTGATTTCTAGTAATAATTAATTTTATAGTACAATTATTACATATCATAAAAAATAAAGGAAATCTATTTTGCTTTTCGAACTGGTTAGAATATGGTGTTTGGTGAGGATAGTTGATATCAGGGACTGACTTCGGCTAGACAATCACCGAAGATGTGGAAACACTAGACTTCTGTTCAAGACTTCTAGTTAGAATCTACAAACAGTTGAGTTCAGGTGTGTAACGAAGGGAGCAGATATTTTCGGTATCACCCTATGATTGTGTTTAGTATTGCAAACTAACCAAATTTTGAAATATGGACCAGTTAGTTTCAACTCAGTGGTTTGTAGGTAACGTAGTCTATAAAACCTGGATATGCTTGATTCAGTTCCTGGGTTGAGAGGAACAGCGGCTGATTAGTTTTAAACCCGAAAGACAAAGACTTTTTTCAATATTCCTTGGTTTTCAGTAGTTATCTAAGTGAAGCCAACTCTCAAGAACGTTAAGTAGTTTCGTCCACCATTTATTAGTTAACTCTGTAATTTGGAGCATCGTGGAAAAGTCTAGACATTTTGTCCATACATTCTATCTATGACGTAATGAAATAAAGCAGCGAGAAAAGTGAAATAATGTACATGAATTCACTGTATTATTTTGTAGAGATTATCACAAAATAAATTCATGAAACGCTCTGAGGAATAGGGTATCTTAGACCCAACTATGCGATATCAAGTTTTAACACGATATCCAAGTATCCATGAATACAATTGTGTACACCATTTCGTCCACTGAAATTGAGTGCGTCTAAGCAAACTCGGTAGTTCATTTATGCTGTTTTTCTAACCATTATGGCTAGTGGACAGGGATTTAATGGTTTTTACTATGTAGCACTTAGAAACTATAAACCATATCCAAAATTTTAGCTTAAAAGCCAAGGATCAAACAATCTATTCGGCTACAGCTATAGGCTTATCTATATCTGTGAAGTCAATTGAATCAGACATTTGTCTAAAAATCCAAATAAGACCGCAAATTTTGGTCAGTGGTTAATTCTACAGTAACCTAAATTAGTATTCACAAAACATGAGCACCCTACCTTCTCTTTCATATTCATAACACTTTACTTTTTGTGTTCGACTTTCGTGTAACGACGTCCATAAATGTCCAACTGGGCGAAAAACTCTAGGTGGGACAGAAATCTGCATGTAACACTGGTTGTAAAATCTTCATGAATCTTTTTAAAAGGAAATGTTTACAAGGGACTTGAATTTTCAATTTTCAGGACTACAGTCTATAATGGTAAATTTCTTTATAATAGCTTTAACCTGAGAAAAGCCTACATTAATTCATTGAGCTTACCAGCAAAAATTAGTTTGATGCGAGTTGTTCAAATAAGTCAAGGAGTTATATTTAATTCATATATTCTCAAACGTAATAGTAAAGGCACGGCTGTGTTGTCTCCAAGTTCATAATATGATGCATTTATGTTTTTTAATATCTTGTATATACAAGCGTATATTGCAGAACACAAACTTATTTCATAATAAAGTTTTAGAATCTTGTTTATTCAGTTTAAGAACCCTCTCATTTTCTACATAGTAACAAATAACCATACATTTTAGAGATTATATCGCAATTTAATTTGACCTTAAAGTTAAGTTCATCAGTAAGTACTAAGTCAGAATCCTTAATTTGTAGATTTTATAAAAATGCGGGTTAATACTAGCCAAAATTTCGAAGGGCTTATTTAAATGAATTTTCAGTCGACGAAATTAAACCTGAGGGATATTCGAAAATGAAGTGAAAGTACTTGTTGTCTACGTACATGTAAAGCTAGTAGATCAAAGTCGAATGGTGAATGTTTTCAGAAGTTCTGAGATACAGAGTAAATGAAAAATCAAAATTATACAATAGCAGCTCAAATGCAACATTTTCATGTTTATAAATTAAGTTTTTTCACATAAAGTAAGTATACTAATTCGGTTATAGGCACGTGCAACTATTTACTATGTTTTTATCTCCTTTTGAAGTGATAAGATCAATATATATAAAGGTCAACTTTCACATTAGGCAGTCATTTAACATGTTTTACATCTTCACTATGATCCGCAATAGTCGTTAGCATATTTTCACCCCTTTAAGATTAAAATTTGACTTTTCCACCAAATTTCGATTCACAACAAGAGTCGGCATTTTCATCTTAATTTACCCCTGTATGGAATACTGAACCATGTAGGCTTATTCTTTTACAGTGGTACTTCACAGTTTGTGTAATGATTTTGATCCCTAATATGCAAAATTGAAATGTTGAGAATAACAATATATAAATCACACAGTTCTGTTAGTCGGTAAGACTCATCATGGACATGTAATCTTCAGTACTATTAAGAAATGTTTACGTGAAACTCATATTACAAACACAGACTGGTTATTGCAGTTCACCTAATGAGTTTGAAGGAATTAATAAATATACTAATAAATTTGTTTCGTAGACATTGAATTCAACATTCTATGATACAACTATGTTCTATAGTTTTAAGCGAAATGAAATATGGAGATGCAACCGATTTTAGATGTCCATCTAAAAATTGTATGATAAACTAGAATAACGATTATACATTTAAACAAACAGCTAACATTAAATACGGCTCTAAAGAGCTCAAAGCACTTCTAACAGCAATTGTGAAGTGTTCTATTTACACTTGCAAGTTGGCAAAACAGGAATTGAATTTGTGCCAATGATCAAAAGTCGGACGCCTACAATCAGCCCTAGTTCCCTATAATTTTATGAATTATCGGTATAGTGTTATGAAGATTGTTGAATTTTAATTGAGACCATGAACTGAGAAACGTCAGACCGCCGCTCAGTGCTTCCAGGTTTTTTATGGACATCATGTTGTATGAATTTTCGAATCTCTCCCCTAAGGTCGTCACATGCTTTAATATAATTGTCTGGCGAGTTTGTATTTATACATACTACGGTCAAATCTATTCATCTGAACACAAACAAAACAGGTACCACGAAATACTAGTTGATTTCGTTTGCAAATATTTTCTTATTTATTTTGAGTCCAAGATGAAAATATGGAAACCTAAATTGTAAGACATTACCGAAGTCCAACTGTATGTTATCCGTATGAATTAATTTCGGACAGATTTCATCCATTGTTTAGAAAATCTACAAGCTAGCTTCATCTACGCATAATTAAAACCACAAGGAGCTATCCTTTTACAAATGAAAATTAGGAGTGAATAAACGAAAATTCATAAACGAATAGTAATTATAATGGTAAGTTGTAGAAACGTACATGAGCAATATCAAATGAACTGTTCTCAGTGATTCCAAATTTTAGAGCTTGATATTCTGATGCGTGGATTGAAGGTGCGAGTTTTGATTGATTCAGTTTATTGATGCATATTTGAAGTCTATTCATTAGAACGGAAAAGTCTTTCCCAGCCCTGTAAAGATATGCCTCATCAAATACGTTTCTGCTGTCGTTCAGAGTTTCATTATGAGACTTTCCTTCGGTATTCTGAATTAAGATTTTCGGTAATATATCTCGATTGTCATTACTGATCTCAGCGTCATAATCATCTGTTTCATATTTATTCACTATATGAGTGTATAAATAAAGTTCTTGAGACTTTTACCTTTCAGAATCTCATCAACATCTTTAAGAGCTGACGCCAAAATCCGGCTAGCCTCCAGATTACTCATCTAAATCACATATCTAGTAATTATTGACTGAAACCGTTTAGACATGCTTGTAGGTCAATACAATCAAAGTTACGCGATTTTGACTTTTCGTGGTGTTCACTACAGAACAACAAGCACATTAAAACACAGATATTTTTACTTATTTTCAATAAAATAAGACAAAAAGTTTATTCTTCAACATGTAACTTGCTTATCTGATCAAAGTTTGTTTTCAGAGCAATTCGAATGGCTAATAACTCTGTTACAAGCTAGCGTGATTCATTTACGCTCACGTTATGGAGCTAGCATACGGTACTCGGTCTTTGATATCGTCGGATATGATTAGCCTAAACGGTTGAATTCACTAACACTGAGGCGCATAATATTTATTTGAAAGCTAGTCCGCTTTGAATATAAATGAATGCATCTGCGGTATTACATCGGGGTTAATAGAAACAGGTGCTATTACGGGTAAGTTGTTTGGTTTAAATATGTGTTTTAGAGATAGAATAGAGAGCAGTGTGGTGGTTACACTGTATCACAAAGCTTTGTCACTAGCTTATACAAACAGATTGGTTTCTTTGAGCTCACTTCTTGCTGTTTCACTACGGTTTATGGTAACATGTATATTCAATGATTTTGGTAATGACAAAATAAAGACCAGTTTCGTCCTCCGTTTGTGATACTTTGCATGTGACGGCATTGATATTCGGCATCTGTTGTTCCTCTGTATCAGTTGTAATAAACGGGTATAATTGTTTGGCGATGCTAATATGTACACTCTACAGCTGTAATTTAAATAAGCCCTATGTCTGTCGTCTATTATTCTACTCCCTTGCCCATGGCCTATGACTGAAGATTATGATAATTTCATAGCATCCTTTTAGGTCATTCTACACTACGCCATAGTTCTGGCTCGGATTAATATTGAACATTACTACCGTATTTGATCAACTTCATCACTCTGTTGGTGCCACCACGTGTAGTGAAGCATTCATCAATCAAGTGAAGTCATTCGTGGTGGTTACTTTAGAAGGAGCTTACAAGTAACATTCTCTAAGAATTTTTATCACTTTGTTACTTAATATACCGTTTTACTTAGAGACAGATGCTTCGGTTTGTAGTGCTGACCTTTTCTGGCATATCATTACTAACTGAGCGTATAGTTATATCTTGAATGAGCTCCTTTGCTTGGATCAACTACAGGTTCCAGGTATTTGATCATGTCCAATAAGTGATAGTTTAGCCACTTTACTTCACTTATTTAAGTCGTTTTGGTAATGATTCGTGGATTTGCATATATTGTGGTTTAAGTGCGTTCGTCTCAGGATAATATGAATTCTGCATGCCAACATCTATCACATTACTAGGCAGAAGGCATGTTAGTCGCAGTATGAAAATACTAAAGTTACAATTCCAGTGTTAAGATAAGATGCTTGTTTCAAGAAAGGCAGTTTATTATTCGGTTATGTCTAAGAATACGGACTGGAAACATAATGGGGGAAATGAAGCCAATAATAATAGAAATAGTAATTGGTTGCCGACATGTGGTACAGCTGGTTCAAGAGGGAGATGGTAATCTTTGAGTGAGGAAGTGCTTGTCAATTCTCCTCTTTAAGCGATCCACTGGGGGAATATAGTCACTTTGTCTAGGAGAGTATGCCAAATGGTGGGGAACTTTTAGCTAGAAAACTTGAAAATGTACATGAGTGTTCGCCACTTGATATGCAGTTTTCCGAGTGTTGCCTCGAGGAGAGTGGTTATGATGTTTTGGTAATATGCTCGTGTTGCAGTGGTTTGGCTTATCTAGTATGTTAAGTGTCACTATCAGCTCATCTCATGCAATCCTGTAGCTCCTGAGATTTATGCCTTGATCTATCACCCACTTGGTTGTCTGTCTCTGTACTTAGTCCATGAGATTTGTGCCTCTTCTAAGCAGATCGGGCGCAACGACATTGTGAACTTCAAGTGAGGCCACTAGTATGTATTAAACAGTTTTAAGAACAATTCTGAGGTAATTTCGCCATATCATCTTTGCATGACGCAGAGAGTTGAGCCTCCTTTGGTTGCATCTCTCAAGTACTTTGTGCCAGTGTCTATGCTTGCCGTGGTTAAAAACGTGAAATCATGCTCTGGGAAGAAAGTTAGGAGCGGATTTTCATGTATGGTGTAGGTGCGTTGTGTTGTATGAGGCACGATCTTCACGATGCGACATTGCGATAGGTTAAGTTTTAACCCATTATTTACAGAATATTCCTCTAATTTTGTAAGGTCCTTTTATAACCCAGGTGAGTCCTTGTGGTAGCTTTGGTTCCTAAACGCACGATCTTCGAGGCCGAGCATATAATTATTGTAAAAATTCACATTCAACACGTAACATTTGGAGAGGGTCAAAATTGGTGAATGTGGGGACAATTGATCAGTATGGCATGGCTCAGCCTTTCAGGCATGATCATTTAGTGTAACTCGTGCCTTCCCATATTAAATGTTATTTTCTCGTCAACCGAAATATCTTCTTCAAAAGTACTAAACATCACGTTGCTGAGTAAGCATGTGCGATGATGTGATTTCCACGTAGGACAATGTGACAAATCTACCATTGTGGGATTAGGTCTATTATTATGGTACCGAAGATAAGTGTATTAATACCAAAACATTCCAAAACACTACATTGGTGAGACCGACTAAAGGAACACACATTCATTTTGAATTTATGGATTGATTTTTTACCTCTCCTATCCATGTCTATTGTTTAATGCTCATGCGTATTAACGTATTGCAATAGTGAATGATGGTCATAGCCTAATGTTAAGAGCTGATCGTCTGCATCTATGTTTATCGACGATGGTTCATTGACAAGCTTTAGTAGCATTTACATGATTCAGTGAAATAGGTTTGTGAAAACATCAACCACTAATAAATATGGCTCCAAATCGACGTAAATATACATAAGCTGGCAATTAACGTGAGCAAAGATTGGACGGTTATTCCGATCTAATTCGCCATCTTGTTTCTTCACTCATCACGTTACTTTATTTTAAACTATGAACCGTCTTTTAATATCCTTTCAACCAACCACTGCCTGCCTAATTTCCACTTTTCCAGTTCCATCGCTGAACAACAGGGACAGTCTTCCAGAAGTTTTAGTAAGCTTTAGCCACAAAGTTTCCTCAATATTAAGCACATTTCAGGCCGTTCGTCCGGTGAAAGCTATGTATTTACCTGGGCTCTTTGGATTTTTACTAAATCAAACAAGTGACAAAGTCAGTAGCGTTTAGCAAACCCATGAGATTGTTACAATACTGCATGTCTAGTCTCGTTCCTATTGGATCACTACCACTTTTCATAGCTGGTCTTTTATACTTTAAATGTTTTGAATAGCTTGAATCCCGAGAATAATCCAGGCGAATTTTATTATTTTGCAGAATCGTTTGCCATGTTTTTAATGCATGTTAGCGTGTTTATACTTTTTACTTCGATTAAGTACATATATTTCATATGAACCACTTTAAAAATCGTTTTTCGATTACGTTATGAATAATAGCTACAAATGACATCATACTCTTATGAGAAAGTGCATTGTTTACAGAAGAGCAACATCAGATTCGAAAAAATCCGACACTCCTAAATTCTGATTATCATTACATGTTCATGAATGTTACTACGCTAACTACAGCAACCACTTATGAAACTTTTACACGATACCTACCATGTTTCGAACTGTGGTTCCATTAATCATGTCTCAACCTTGGAATATTTTCTATCAAGTTTTTTGTTGTTATATTTCTCATCAGAATAGATATTGAGCTGACAGTTACATGGGCTGTATTATATCATCTTTATGCCATCTCGGTTTAACACATATTTGGATCGCCTTCAACACCTACCAAATTCTTGATAGTCGTTATTGTTATGAATATTTGGGTTTAGGGACTAAACTATCACAGTTGCCCAAAGAGACGTTTAACATGGTTAACACAATAAATTTACCGCAGTAGGATAACATCGTACTGCATTGGTATGACAACTAAAATATCACGTAAATTTTTGTCAAGTAAATATTCAAAATAAAAACTATGGAGCCTACTGCTAAAATTAACTCTAAGTATTCAAGTATTTCTGGACCGTAATTTGAAATATGATCAGGTAGCTTGGATCCATTAATGCTAAAAACTCCTGATATTTCCTAATCGCGTAACACAGCGATACACATTCCCAAATAGCTAATTATCAATCAACACTTTAATTAGTTATTCCAAATGGTTTCTAGATATCGTCATAAACATTATCATGACTTGATAATCACGAAATATGATTGACAAAACTGACAAAACTATCAACACAAACTCGGCTACCAAACTGACTTTTAGTTATCAGTGAGTAGTGTTTTGTCATAGTTATCTCTATCTATTGTCGATTATTTCGGTATGCTTTTTTGTCGATTGCTCATTTAGTAAACATCTTCGGACCCTATCAGTCTATTAGAAGTTTAATGACACGAACATTCAAGCAAATCATTGGTATAAATAGTCCAGCAAATCCCTTGAATACCGAGACAATCTTGTCAAATTAACTCCAACACTGACAAAGGTTCATACCATTATCACAGACGTGAATTGGAAGTTACACTCCTTCGGTTATAACCTGTACTCTCCCTGATAATCACATGAGCAGCACTTACCTGTTCGTCATCTTGCGAAGACTTTTATGGCCAAAAGTTTATGTGCCACATCCTTTGCGCTTTAAAAGGATCAACAGATCTTTAAATAATCTACATAGGTCAGTGACACCGAGTTAATTTCATCTAACAAGTCATTAAGGAAGATCAAACATAGGAGTGGGAATAAGACTGTTTTTTTAAGAACCCTGTTGCGCTCAATTTTTAATATTTCTACACGGTTCCAGGTCCTTGGTAATACGCGGTGGGTGATAGTCTAGCCGCTCAACTGAACTTATTCCAGTCGTTTTGGTGGCGATTCGTGAATTTCTAAATCTTGCAGTTTGAGCGATTGAGTTTGTCTCAGGACGGTATAGTTTTTAGATATCAAATTAAGTGACCCAAATCGGAGAAATTCTGAAAACTACAGGCAGAAATTTTAAATTTTCTAGATGACTAGAAAA